AGCCTCTAGAATGCTCTTTTTCATATATCTATAGAAATATTAAATCAAACTTTGTGAAAGTCCTTACTATATTGTTCACTCTCTGTTGTTATAGAATAATTAAACCTAATAACATATTTTTATTTCCACGACAACTGATTCATACTGGTCCTGAATGTGTTAATTTATAATTATTTATAATTATAATCACTGAAACTGCATTAGAAACTTTCCATACGTACTGTAAAACGCTGTATAAATGTTTGGTACTGGTTATTAAAGAGTCGATTGTACCTACATATACATATATGCATAAAAAGAAAAATTCGCATATAACTGGATATGCGTAATTCGAGGGCTGTGCAATTTCAACTTTCGCGAATCAACGAACGATTTCAGCGTGCACGTTGATAAAATTATCGTATAATTTTCAGTTACAAGGATCCGCATTTTCTGCTAGGAAAGCTGGTCATTATAGGCATGACTAGTTTGTCTTTTCCTTGCGGGGCAAGGGGAATCTCTTAATTGTTGCGTCACGGTTATGCAATCGATTAACAAACTTTCTCGTTGAAATAGTCGTTTCGAAAATCCAGTGACCGCAAACAAACCGCACACAATCCGAAGAAGATAGAAACGATCTTGCTTGTAACGTGCAAGGAATCGTCGCGTGCAATATCAATTACCGGTAACTCGATCGTGATTCAGGACGAGAAACAAGAAATTACGGTGATTCACATCGGTGACACTACAGGCTTATCTTCGAGCAAAGGCAGATGGTAAATATAGGTAAACATTACGTGATAACAAAGCTTCATTTTTATAGTAACTTCGATAGATATTAGAACAACAAAACATTTACAAATTACGATAAAAAAGAGAAAAAAATATCGAACAAATTTCATTTTCTGATCACGTTTTGACTATTAAAAAATGCATTTAAATGGATCAGTGAATGTCTAGGAAACTTTATATACATATATACCTTCGAAATCCTATCCATTTTCGAGAAAAAAAATCGGGTAGGTGCTGAAATTTTTCGGTGAAAAAAAATTTTTCAAATCGTTCTAAAAAAATTATTTGCCATTGCGGGAGTCAATTGCAATCATTTTTGGTCATTACATATATCCCCGAAATCCTACGCACTTTCGAGTAAAAAATTCCTTACCGAAAATCTAATTATCAATTTTTCCACGAAAAAAATAACTTTCAAATCGTTCTGGAAAAATTATATTCGTTTGCGGGGGTCAATTACAATCATTTTTGGTGGATAGACATACCCCCGAAATCCTATCCACTTTCTAGAAAAAAATTCGAGACGGTGTGAAATTTTTCGACGGAAAAAAAAGTTTCAAATCGTTCTGGAAAAATTATTTTCGTTTGCGGGGGTCAGTTACAATCATTTTTGGTGAATAGACATACCCCCGAAATCTTGCGCATTTTGGAGAAAAAAATTCAGTACGAGCGAAACTCTAAACGTTAATAACTTTTTAACGAAGCCTTCATCAACAAATTAGTATTCTTGATTTTCGTCTTATTTTGGCCTCTAGAATCTCCCATTAAAATTTTTCCCAGGGGTGGCGGAGCGCCCTGTATATTTAACTTCTCTATTTTCTCTTACGAAAATTAGATTTAATATATACATCCATATATTTGAATTTATCAGATATATGGTCAAGGAAATAGTCAGAATTTTCTTCACGAGCAAACAAAATTAATTTATATTTATCTAAGTCGATTGTTCCAATACTGTGATTAAATCATAAGAGAAAATAATTTTATTATGCATTTATTTTTTAAAAATTCATTTTTTTAATTAGACCGAAATTTCAGATACTTTTTGTTTTCCATTATCGCCGAGAGTTTGAAATATAAAAGCATACTAGTTCGCTTGTAATAATATACAGTTCTTATTTGTTTCCGTAATTTTTTATTCGCCTTAAACAAACTGATATTACAAATATGCCGCGCTTCCTCTTTAAATATTTGTCTGTGTTTTCCGAATTCTTTTTCGTTTCAACGAGTCGACAAATAAGGGAGAGTGTATTTTAAAGCTTCTTCGGGAAAATGGACGCGTTCGAGCGCAGCAGAGGCATCATTGACGAGAATTCATTTCACTATCTAAATTAACAGACCGGAAGAAAGACCGTGAGTTCCGTTCCGCTAAAACGGAAACGCGCTCCTGTCGCTAGCAAAACGCGAACTGGTAGCCTGTTCACTCGCGAGAACATTTCGAGAGGAACAGGTGACTAATACTACGTGAAACAATTAACTTCAAGTTGTATGATAAATGTTGTCGAGCGTATCAAAAAATGAAAAAAAAAAAAAAGAAAAATAGCAAGCAAACGTCGTAAGATTTTTTAAAATGTCGATACAGAAATCTATATTATTCAAATTTTTAATTATCGTTTTAATACGTTGACTACCACATCAGTTTTCCTTAACATCCTCGATATTTTTCCAAATTATTTTGAATTTAGACAAAAAATATTGCATAGTTATTCACCAGCCAATTAATAAAAAAAATTAATCGATAAATGTCGTCGAACGTTTCGAAAAGTGAAATGGTGAACGTCGTAAGATTTTTCAAAATGTCGATACAGAAAATACAGAAATCTGTATTATTCAAATTTTTAAATGTCGTTTTAATACGTTCACCACCAGTTTTCCTTACCATCCTCTACATTTTTCCAAATTATTTTGAATTTAGACAAAAAATATTGCATAGTTATTCACCAGCCAACTAATAAAAAACTTAATCGATAAATGTCGTCGAACGTTTCAAAAAATGAAAAAAAGAAAAATGGTGAACGTCGTAAGAATTTTCAAAATGTCGATACAGTCTATAGATGCAAAGAGAACGTGGACACCGTCGATTCAATGGAATTTTCAAGCGATAAGATCAAACGGGGCAATTGGAAATAATTCGATATGACTGAAAGGTGCAAAGACCCGACATGCCACTCTCCGATGAGGGTGGACTTTTAAATTGGAACAGATACAGGTCACAGCACCTACGCATATACCTATAAACCTTGATGCAACCATGCGACAATGAAATCGATAATCATGAGGAACTCGTGCGGTTTCCTACTGTTCAAGTACACGGGTAGCTCGTTTTTCTATTTATAATCAAGTTTTTGCGCGATCGATAATTAAAAATGTCTTTGCGGAGAACAACGCAAGTGCCAAGAATCTAATTTTAATTTTTCAGAAAGAAGAAAAAACATTGCTGGCCTCAGATTAATAAAATTTGATTTATCTGTATCGTATTGTGTCACCAAGACTGCGATAAACCTAAACAGGTTACAAAATTTTGTATATCTTAATAATATATAAATGTATTTGTAGAGAAGCCTGTACGTGCCACATCTTGGGTACTATTCATCAATTTCAATTATTTATAACTATTTTAAACATTCGACTATAAATAAAATCAAAATTGTTAAGAATTTATAAATCGTAACAGATCGTATTCCTCATCGAAGGAAACGCGCGACAACAACGTCTGTTCGATTGATTCAAAAGTTAACGACCAACGATCTACCAACGTTCGGAGAAAAAAAAAAGATTTCGATATTCAAAACATTCTTGCTCCTGGTGTTATCGATAATGACCGTGGGCATAGTGACGGATACGAGACAACAACAAATACACGAGTAACTGTAAGGTATACCAACAACTACGAATGTACTCCCGAGAAGATTCACCGTGGCATTCGAATACGGAACAGTTTTTGCGTCGATACCCCGGATAACGTTACGTCGCTAACGATTTTCAATTTTAACGCGTTCACGGCAACGTTCGTAAACCTATAATATCGTAACAGTCACCTAGCGCGGTCACAGGAAATGCAAGAAACTACTTTCACACGAAACATCTGTTATCGATAAAAATCCTGCCATGCAAAAACTTTCCCCCGTATTACTCAACTAGAAATCGCGGTTAATCAAAGTTAAATATCTTGTAATAACTTCCAGAAAATCGTAAATCGACGCTGGTGACGCAATCCTGTGTGTCAGGGCGATATTAACAATAGCACATTGACTTGATCGATAATGCGTGGAATCGTTATTGAAAATTAGTGGAAAAAAGAACGTTACGTCAATGTAAATTCCCTAGTTCTCGATAATACGCGTGCACGTTAACGTAGTTGTAATGACCGACATGTAACGTGACGGCAGGTGCTTTGCAACCAGCTATGTAATCGATACGGAACACAGCTCGCGATTGCAGTTGTCCACGTTCGAGGCAAAAATCAGATGGTTTTCTTCGCGATAAATTACATTATTCGACAAAAAAAAATAACGGTCGGTGTCAACGTTACGGTTAATATAATGAACGTGACACGACACACATCATATTTCGTTACTCGGTAATACAGAATTCGATGCCGTACGGCAATTTCTGGTTGACTCAAACAGCACAGCTAAGACACTTAAAATCAATGTACAGACCGACCTGCTTCGTAGTCGAGCATTTTTGGCCCTTTTCCCAGAGACCGATCGAGTAATTCTTTGATCGAGCATTCCTTCGCGTTCTCACTTCCACGGAAAACACGCTTTTTAATCGTTGAATCGAGGTACTTTCCTCCACGTTACGCCTCGAAATGGAAAGTAACCCATTAACGAGTAACGGAGAGAAATATACGAAAGGTGCGTTTCGCTTCTGGTCCCATCGAATATGACTAACGTGTAACCGTCAATGTCCAAGTTCTCCAAAAGTTCATGCTCCTTGGAAAAATAGTTTCCGTTCGATCGTGAAAAAAAAAGATGTGTATTCCTGTCAGAACACGTTTCACTTTCTTCCGGGCGACCTCTGAACCTGTAAAACTGCTAACTGAATCTCGCTGACACGTCTGTACGGAGCTCCTTAACGAGAGAATCCTGACGAGCTATCCGTTCGCTTTTCACGATCGAAAGTGCAGAGAGAAATTAATCGTAGATACAGGGAAATGTGTCTGCCGTTTGATTGACGCGGACAGGACCGAAAGAGCAAAAAGAACGAACGATAAGTATACTCACAGTCGAGATGCTTCTTTTTCGGACCTATCATCTCCTCGGTGGTGGCTTTACACACAGATTTCGCAAGGCCCTGCCCGGCGAGACTGTGTCTCGCTGCTAGCAACCTGTCGTTTATCGTCTGTCCCGCCATACTGTCGTTGCTGCTGTCACACTCAACTTTTCCCAAGCTCACGCACCTTACGGTCCAACGACCGTGTATATTATCACTCCTAGAGACTGTTCTCCGGGTTCGACGACAGCGTCGAACAACGTGTCACACACACACACACGCACACACCAACCGCGGGAACTGGCGAAATAAGCCCGAGCGAACGAGCACCGAGAAAGAAAAATATACGACGTGTCGCCGGTTCCGATCCGGTTCCCTTCGATCTATTGATTTCGTAATTCCCGGTGCCGGCCTGTCCTCGAAATCACGTTTCGATAGAGCCGAGAAGCTCTTTCGCGCGCGCGTTAACGTCTCAGCTGGGCGGACGACAGCTCAGCTCTCACGGCGACGACAGAAGGCTCGCACAATCAGCCAATATGGCGACCCGGACCTCCTACTCCCTCGCCGGACCGATCACTCCTGACAGCCAATCCTAGTCTTTCTCCGCAAACACGGCCTACTGTCTCTGACGTCATACCGCGCTGGTCAAAACAAGCTCCCCCAAAACTCCGATACTCTAAAACATTCTTCGACTTTGATCAATTAATCTTTTCATACAAAATTACGAACAACCGTCGTTTAAACTTATTTCTTGTTTATAATTTTTTTTGTAGCGTATGTATGATGGAAATTTAGATGAACGTGCATTCGTGCATAATTGCACGAATTAATTTGTATAACAGACGATGTTGCGTAATTTTTCACAAATAATAAATAGATCAAGAAAATAAGGAGGATAAGTCTTTGTAACATAAATATCGATCGAAAAGGGTGTCTCCGCAATAAGGTTTAAATCGATAATGATGGTCCAATTTCTGCGCACGCATATTCCTCGCGATGTACTCCATCTAGAGTATATTCTATCAATGATCAAACCCGAATATCAACATTTTTATCTTTCAAATAAAATATATCGTATATGTTTGTTACGTAACAAACCTTTTTTAGTTCCTTTAACAAATTGTACAATTATAAGAAACGAAATTTCAATGTAACGTAACATTCTATTTATATTGTCGTACAATGTATTTAAAATTAAAATTTCAAATTTATAATTAACGCTTTTCAAATACCAAACGAGAGCTAAAGAAAATGCCTACGTTTAAAATATATACACTTGCCTTTGTAACTAGTTTTAGATCTATAACGTATATCAATCAATCCATAGGTCTAAAATGAATCAAGGAACATTTATATTTGTACAAGTGCAACTGTTAATGTTGGTACGAATACAATACCGGCCACCGTGGTAAGTGGCAAGAATTGAAAAATCAGGAAATCCATTCGACTTCACGAAATAATAAGTTTTCCTGACAAAATGTGTACGTATAACTGAGAATTCAAAAATCGCAACACTTTAAGTAATATCGAAACACTTCTTTGCATAATATGTAATTAAAAATAGCGTAACAAAGTTTACAGCTGATAACCTGTGTTATAACCATACTGTTGTATGCTTATCGGTGTTTTAAATTTACAATTATCTGTCATCTAAATAGTAATTGAATTCGTTAATGAAAACCTCCATTATTTTTCTAATTTTTCAGCGGTCAATAGCAAAGTATCATTTTACCTATCGTGTATTCTCACAGTCCTTGTGTTCTCTGGAATGCAAATCTACAAATCTTGGCTGGCATCGTCACAGCTCTATACTATATTAGGAGGGTATATTGGATCTTTATTATTTATATGTGTATTAACTGCTATAGGAAATTTAGAAGCAGTGCTATTTGGAAAATCTTTCCAGCAGAAGTTATTCCCCGAAGGTTTGTAATCAAATGTCAATTACAATTTCCGATTTATTTTTGTCAATATTTAGATGAAAGATAAAATAACTATTAAATCTTTCTTTTGTTGCAGTTATGTTTTCATTGATTGTTAGCTTAATTGCATCAGGATTGGTACATCGTGTTGCAACCACAACTTGTTTCTTATTTTCTATAATTGCTTTGTATTATATGAACCGAATCTCACAGGAGACGTATTCTATACCAGTACCTGTACCAGTATCGGTCCATTCGAAGAAGAGAAAGTAAGAAGACTAAGAACATAATGCAATTTTTCTATTATGCTATTGCATTTAAAGCAAATAACGGACGATAAATCTTGTAATTTTTAAATTATGAACTTTTATACCATATCGAAGAATTTGTTATCAATGGCTCATAATTATTTACCTCTCTCTCCATATTCTTAAATATTTTATATACCGCCCGTGTATGTATAAGTACAAGTGAAGGTAGATAAGAAAAGTTCAACTGTATTTGTATTATACATAAACATTTCACAATATTTTAGGATATTATTTTCTACTTCTGCTATGTTTCTCTGCTTCCTCTTTATCGCTGAAGTACTCAAACGATTCATCCGAGCTATCAATTTTAAGTTGAGCATCTCCATTTATTTTTCTTTGACTATCGTCAAAGTTGGGTTGTGCTATTAGTTGTTTGTAAATTGTCATTGCCTACAATTGTTAAGTCATTTTACATAAAAGCAAATAACGTATTGTATACGAAACATACAAATTTTTCATAACATACTTGAGTCACCATAGAAGACACATCAGCGACATTGCTGGGTAATATTAGTGTATTATTGCTTTTTGCCAATTTATCAAATGCTTTGACATACAGCTCTGCTATACTAAGCGCTGCTGCATTTTTTGCGTCAGTTATACTTAGAGCACCCGCTACAAGTTTCAAACTATTTGCACGTGCTTCGGCGATAGACATTATAGCTGATGCAGCACCACTGGCTTTATTTATTTCTTCTTGCTTTGCAGCCTCTTTGAAAGCAAATGCAACACACATGAGTTGTTTATTAAAATTTAACTATATAAGTGAAGAATAATTACCCGATGCTAAAATTTGTGCTAAACGTTTCCCTTCTGCAAGATTGATTGCTGCATCTCTGGCACCTTCAGATTCTAAAATTGCAGCTCGCTTTTTGCGTTCTGCTTCTACTTGCATCTGCATTGCTTCCTGTACTCTTTGTGGTAGTCTTATGTCACCTAGTATAAGAGGCTTAATGATAATGTGACATATTTTCTTAAGCATTATTTTTACTTGACTTACGTATCTCATATCGAAGACAAGTAATGCCCCACACTTCGCTTGCTTTGTTTATACTATCGACAATACAAACATTAAGACCTTCCCTTTCTCTGAACACTTTGTCCAAAGATATTTTTCCTAATTCTGATCTCATTGTAGTTAATGCTAACTGACTTATAGCAAATTCTGGATCCTCAACACCATAGGAAGTTAAGTATGGGTTATTTATTCTTAAATATAATACACCGTCGATGTTTAACGTTACATTATCTGCAGATAAAAGTTTCGATAGTATTAGGTATTTAACTTGAACGTATTATCAATAACATATACCTGATGTAACCGCAGTTTGTTGTGGTATTTCTATAGCTATTTCTTTGAGACTCTGAACATATTTAACCTGATCAATTATCGGTATCAATATGTTTAAACCTGGTTCTAAAACTTTATGAAACTTCCCCATTCTTTCGACAATCCAGGCCTGAAAAAATATCGCTCTAGTATCTTCATACAAATTAACAATTTTTATTGACAAGATGATTTTAAAAGATTGTTTTCAGAATAATGTAAACATCGCTACCAACAATGTGCATAAAATCATTTTACTTAATACAAAAAATCATTTTACTTAATACAAAAAATTTGATATTGCTTCCAAAAGTAACAAACCTCTTGTTGTGGAACAAACATTATGATAGTATTTAAAGGTGTACCACTCTTGTATCTCACATGTTGGGCTGTTGCTAACTTGGGAACGTGTTCAAACCCAAGAGCTGGCTGATGCTATGAAAAAAATTATTGTATTACAATCGTAAATAATTTTCAGAGGTTACAATTTACCATAGTTTCGAAGATATTACGGTTACCTTGAAAATTCCAAAATTACGAACAAGCAGCTTAAATCTGCTATTCATTCCGCATCTATATCTTCGTAACAACATCACACTGACGGGTGGAAAAAGATTCTTTGACACTTAGAATAGATTAACTATAATTACAAATAAAACCACGTTTTCGTCATGAAGGATTTCTCTCAAAGATGATATCGAAAGCGACCAATTACAAGCTAGTATTTGATATTCAAATAATCAAAAAAATAAAATAGAATTTTCTCAATCATAAAACACAGTGTTTCACTCTCTACATTTAAAAATAATAAAATATATATACACGAAGTACAGTAGATAAAATATAAAACCGATGAACGAAAATTGAATAGTTTTAATATGGTCGGATATGCGTCTCGAATAAATGTAAATTCAATAAAAGTTGTACAAGTAACTATTTATGTATAATAATTATAGAACTGCAGCAAAAGAATTAATAAAAGAAAATATATAAAAATATCCAATAAATTGATGTAAATAAAAATACATTTATCAATTCGGTATGTATCAGATTAAGACACACTTCTGACTGGAGTTACGGCGGATCAATGAAATTTTCTCGCTATCCAACTCTTTCTCGTTGAACAAAGAATAGATAATGTTAATATTTCAACGTTACACTTATAACTTTGTGATTAATATCCAGTGATATGGGAAAAAAATGAATCATTACACGTAAAGAACATTAACTAACTTTTGGTTCCATTCATGCGTAGCTACGATACTGGCTTGATGATCGCATGGCAGCAAGGCGTTATGTACACGTAGATTAATAGCTTTTTGACCTGTTCAAATTAAAAACCGTCCTGACACTTTTTCTGCGCGATTTCTTCTTTAGAAATGTCTACGGAATTCGATAATGCACAGAAAATTTGTCCAAGACAAAGCGTTTTATAAAAATTGTGTAAAAGGTATCCAAATCAACAGCTCATTTTGAAATTTAATGAATATACGTTCAAAAAACTCTCCCCTATTTTTTAAGTTTAAATTGAACTTTCCGAGATTTTTAGTTTGCTATAAAAATATCCCAGTGGATATTGGAGATCACGAGAAAGATTTTAATTTGTTAAACAGTATAATTAGTGTATTTTTAATGTAATTGAACTAACATTTTCTAAAACAACTGCATGGTCAACTTTGAGAAAAATTTTATTATCTAATTCTAGGAATACTTATGCAGTTTGCATGCAGTTTAAATAAACAGTTGTTTTTTCTCATTTCTCGCGAAACGTTCAGCATATTATTAAATAGTAATTACAGAACAATCATTCCAGACAGCACACGACATTTTAAAGACATCCATTTTATGCCTAAACGTCTTAAGATGTAATTTTAAAGATGTAAGTTACGTTTTCACGATAATACATTCATGTTACAACATTAAATGCGATTGTATTTCTAACGAATATACGATGAAGTTCTTTTTTATCGTTACAGGAATTTTATGGTGAGGTTAACCTAATTAAACCATTTCTCTCAACATCGTCATTATAAGAGTTGTTCATTAATAGTGAATACAAATTTTATATTCATTTGTAAACTAACTTTTATGTATAGTTTTGCTCGCCTGGATATTGGTTTAAAAAATTTGTTAATGGTTTTAATCAGTTTTAATTTACGAATAAATTTACGAGTAAATCATAAATTAAAATTAATTTACAAATGAATCCAAAATTTGTAATTGTTAGTTGTAAATGAAATTTGTCTATCTTTGAAGGTTAGTTAATAATACTAACCGTCAAAGTGAACAAAGTACTTCAACCCTATTTGAACTTCTTAGATGAAGTAGGTAAATTATTCTACAATGATTATTTTATTATCTTAGAAATAAATGGAAAATTTTACCTATTGTAATATTGTTTACAACCTGAATGGATCATAAAATATAAAATTTCACATTGTGCAATAAACCAGTTACTTTACATTTAAAAAAACCTAAGTCCCAATAACTTGTCAACTGATGTCAATACTTTTTTGGCAACACCAAAAATAGTAATCATTTTATTCATTCAATTTGATCATTAGGATGTAGCATCAAAATGCTTATTTCAGCTTCAAATTTGTTAGACTTCAGAATCAATATAATACAAATGAACATTAATATTCATGATTTATCACTATCTGAAAGCTTCAATAACTAAGTTTACCCAGGATTATGTATCATTGTAAAATATCAAAATATAGGTATAGTTGATGTCTAATATGGGTATGAAAAATCTAAAGATTTCAATACAAATTGATAAGGGAAGATGTTATTGATAATTTAGCAATAGCTAAACTGGTAATATGTAAGTATATTTCATTTTTTGTTTAATATTGATTACTACACTAATATCATTTAACTGAAATTTTTTTTTAAAGCACTATGGAAACGGCATATAACAAGAGACTGATAAATCAATTCAGTTATAGTTGAGAAAAGTTTATTTCTATAAGATTATTTCTTATGGAGACATTTAAAAGAAGTTGTTTATTGTGAACAATCAACAACACTAGAGAACATGAAAGACAGAATAATAACAGCTTGTACTGCAATTAATCCCACAACATTTGAAAAGGCCAAAGAGCCTCTCGTTCTACATTTTAAAAAATGTATCGATGTGGAGGGGTACCATTTCAAACATCTATTACAATGGAAATTTGAAAAATAGGTTCGTAAAAAAGTATTACAAATTTCATAATGGAGTTTTGTGATAGTAAACATGTTTATTTACTCTTACAGATTCCTGAATGACGTCTTGGTCTCTAAAGTCTCGATAGACAAAAGTTTTTCGTTTCCATTTAATTTTCGATCTCAAAGGTCATTTCAAGGTCATGTAATGTACATATCTGAACGTATTTTTACATCAGCTACACGATGCAATAAAAAAAATTATACAATTATACGCAAAAAAACATCGATAACCTTGTAAACTCCGAAAAAAATTACCCGAGAAACAAAATTTTTTTTGCAAAAGAAAGGTTTTTTCAAACCATTCAAATAGCATACAAAACATTTTTTGTATCTCCACAATTAGAGGAGATATTTAGGTGGACCACCCTGTATATATATATAAAGGTATTGTAAACAGAAGATCTAAAGAAGACGACTTATCAATGTTTTGTGAATAAGTAATCAAAACAATAATTTGTTCATGTAAGCGCTGTAATATATTACAATCGTATGAATTAAGTTAAATTAAAAATTCATTACAAATCATTCCACATAGTATGTGTCACGTTCATGTATACTAGATTGTCGTGATCACTATTTTTTATCATTCTGTCAGCATAATTATCAGTAATTTGAAACATTTTTTAAACTCTTAATACGTGTTTCGCATGTATGTTGTGTAACGTTTGTATCAGGGGGAATATATAAATGATCAGAATCGTCGCATTTACGCTCAGTTTCCTACAAGGTATTTAAGATAAAATAAGATCATCCGTTTGGAAGGATTCGGTTTGTTAAACTTAAACATCATGCGTTGCTACATAGTACTGCTAGTATTCTCCCTTATGGCGTGGACGAACGCCGAAGAAGACTTTTATCCGGATAAATATGATTACATCGATGTAGACAAAATTTTGGCGAATGATCGTATGAGAGATCAATACTATAATTGCTTCATTGATAAGGGGCCTTGCGTAACGGCGGATGCGATGTTCTTTAAACGTATGTATATTTAAAATTTTTATTTTAACAAAATCGGCGCAATCAATGAAGACAGCTTCATACTGTAGGTAGTGTCGCGTTGAAATTCTCGTAGATTTATACATTTTCATAGTTCTTGCATGCAACAATATTGTAGTCACGATATTTTTCGTTTTATAAATTTTATTGTTTATTCATGACATTATAACTGCGATTTCTGAGAATCTTTGACGATTGAAGCAACCTTAATAATAATAATAATAATAATAATAATAATAATCATGAATTTATGACGATGTACTGTACGATATTGTGTAATTTTTTAGAGTATTTGCCTGAAGCAATGGCAACAAATTGCAAAAAATGCACCGCCTTGCAGAAGGAGAAATTCGATAAAATCTCAGACTGGTATGACAAGAACCAACCAGATAAATGGAATCAATTTGTGGTCTCAATGTTGGACAGCATAAAAAAATACCAGTTAAACAAAGAGTAAATAATTATGACAAATTCTTATTCTCAGTTGATGTATACAATTGAATTTTAAATATTGTACCAACTTAAGTAATGTAGCGATATTACTATATCATCACGAAATAAAATTCAAGCAATGCTTTAAATTTATCAACTTCCGTAAAGTTTTACTGTCCCAATGTGATACATTATAAATATACGCGACAACCGAACAACATTGAAATCAACGTTTTTCAAACAATGCAATCGAGTTTCGCGCCCTCGCAATCAATTCGAAATAACAAAGAAACTCCCTGATCTTTAATTTTGAAATTTCGTTCGTACAAATTTGTTGTTTCTTGTGCGGACTACTTTGGACGAAACTGACAATTATTTATTTTCATTTGTTGACTTTTATCCCGAAACACGAGAGGCGAATAGGACTATGGCCCAATAACGTAACTACACAAAAGATGATACGAAATACAGATCGAAACATGGTAACACGGATAGAATCAGAAAATTGTACGCGATTTATGCCGCGGATTTTCTGAAACCATACAGATTAAGTTAGGAATAAATTTTTTCGTCGAAACAAAAGTGGTGTGCGTTTATTGGTCGATACCAGTGGCAGTCGAAGAATCAGCCAATAAGAAACGACGTCGTTCTCGCAGGGAGAAATAATGCAGTCGTCAGGAGAGCAGCCTACTGTGATAATTGTATAGCAATTGACAGTGCAGTGGAAAATATCGTGCATGTAGGTGCGTGCCATTATTCGAACCAAAATTACAGTTTAATTTAAAATGTCATCGCCTACACAAGTGGTGAGCAATATTTTTTCACATCGATTACCTCCCTCGCGTCAATCATTTCAATTACCTCTGTTTCATTCACATGTTTTCATTATTACTTGCATTTCGATCACTTTTGCCTTTTCTTTTGTTCTTATAACAAAGAAGTTGAACGATTCTTTTTTTATTTTCGTTCGATCGGAACGAAAAACGAGGAAGAACCAGCTTGCTGTCAAACAGCTGTTTTCTTTGTTTTGAATGACTGCTGTTTTTCTTTTTTTTTGTGCAGTACACTCGTTACTGACTTTCCTTTTTGTTTACGGAGTATTAATAACTAACGTTGGTAGTATTGTTAGTCACGTTTTTACGCGTCTATTATCACGATTGAAAAAATAATTTCTTCCGTTTTTTTTAGTTTTGTTCCGATACACGTTATTACTTCAGTTCGCTGCAACCGTTAGAACTACACTTTCTTCGTACAAATAGAATTGTACATATTCTTTAATGAACAATTTATCGATTGTTGCCAGTACAAATAACGTTAACTCTGGTTTAATTGACATAATAATTGGGTGTCATTGAATACTCTTCACTGTCTTGGCTGAGTTGTTGCAATCTTCTAATGATTGTTTAATTGACCATTTAACACTATGTATATACAAACTGTGCGTTATTGAAATACATTTTCTTTTAATGTAAGTAATAAAACCAGTCCTTGAGAATCGATTCATTTTAATACAGTATTTGTTCTGGATTGTTGAACAATTTAAACTTTAACAAAAGTAAAACAATGCTTCAAAACTTCTTCATATGTACTATATCTGGTTGAAATTGTATATCATCGATATCATAAATATTAAGCATAATCTAGTATTTATAAAGACTCAGTGGATTATACAATGTATACATTCTAATTCCAAATGTTTGCATGCAAAGACAATTACATACATGTGTAAATACTTCCTCAACCAATTTAAGTATCTTTCATAGGTTTGAAACAAAGCACTATTATGATTTTACAAGAATAGAAAACAATGATTAATAAACCATTAATTGTGATCATACTATGGTAATCCAATTTCGTACTATCTTATCTTTTGTATTTATTTATACAAGAATAGGAAATAATAATTGATAAACCATCCTGTTTTCTCACACTGTGATAATACAATTTCCTACTATCTTATCTTTTGTATTTATTTTTCTCTTCCTTTAATTACTGTCTTTTATGTACTTAGCAAGATAAAAATTTTGAAAATCAATCGATCGTTTTGTTCTATAAAATTATTGATAAAAATGTACATTTTCATAATAACGAAAATGAACAAAAGAATAGCAGTTTTCAAATGTTTATTATGTTAGGTACATAAATGCGAATGTATATAATGCAAAATAACATTCATGATAATTCATATATGTTCATTAAAATAATTGATTTCACCTATACCAGTGCCTACACTGACCTTTGCCTAACAAAATTGTTTTTTTCCCAATCACTTTTTTTACTGAGACATTCTTAATTACCGGAAATGAAAATTTCGAGAAAGTCATCAGCGAGCACTCGTATTTACATTAACACGTCGGTGTTAATTGTTTACAATTTCACAAGTATCAGGGTTCTTTTGTTGTAAGTTTAAAGTGTCGGTCACCGGTGACCGACGCGTTAAACATTGCGTTATATCGTTAAATAAAATTCGACCGGACGCGAAACGTTCACTGTCTCGGTGAAGAAAGTGTAAAAAGTTGCATTAAACAACCCTAACTCGATTCCAATTTCTCGTTTTGTCTGTTGCAGTTAAAAAGTGTCGGCCCAAAGCTAGTCCCGTTCTTTAAAACCGTGTCTGTGTATTTTATATTATTGGCCGAGCAACCGTCACTACTGACGGCGTGTTTCAAGTGTTTGCCAATTATAAGTCTTATCGTCTTTGTTCTCCTACACGGAATTAGTTTATCGCAGGAGTAAGTGCGACAGAATTTTGCATGCGCCGATCCTTTCGTTCTCGCCTTTCTTTCGCATTTCTCGACTAACAAAGCACGCGTCATTCAATTCGTAATACACGATTAAAACAAAAGAAAAAAAATCATACGCTTCTGTACGTGTTTAACAGATACTAAGAATAATTACCGATTTACGCCAAGTATGCGCAAATTTTGGTTCACGAGTCTACTAATAATAACAAAAAAAAAAAATTTGCCTAACGCCAACTCTCAACAGCTTTTGCATCTTTCTTTTTTTTTTCCGTCCGACGCGTACGACGCAGCGCAAGTTGCTACATTTGCGTTACAAATGACACCTTTAACGAGCAAACGATCAGCGAAGCGGAAGAAACGAGTTAATCGAGCCTGTGTTACATTTCCGTAACTACTTGTAGGTGCTAGCCAGCCATTATCATGTTGACCTCGCTTACACGCTTATTTTCAGGTCGCTTTTTTTTATTTTTTCTAATCGGCAACGCACGTTTCGAAGATCCCCCCTCCCTTCCGCCCTACCCCTCCTCCACTGCTCAATCTTTAACGATCTCCACGTTCCACAGATCGCGTGAAATTCTATTGTAATAGCAGTTTGTGCCTTCGAGCAAGTTTCGTTGGATTGAGAAGAGGATCGATTCGTTACGAGGCAAAGTGTTACACATACACACACACTCTCTCTCTTTCTCGGTTGGCCTTGTGACGTTTCCCAGCGATTGCTCTCGTTTCGTTATGTTCCGACCAACCGGAATAACGTTGAACGGTCGTGTTCGACGATATCTTTATTATATATATATAAAACAAATGAAAGATTTTGAAAGTTGAAAAATCGCTTTTGAAAGTTGAGACTTGTTCAGAAAATGTAGCGATCGAAAAAGTCACCTGAAAATGTAAGTGTAAGCTAGATTTCTTCTTCACCGCTTCTGTGCTCCTGTCGTTTTAGGTCTCGTGGTCAAAGTTGGGCATTTACACGGGGTATATTCAACTACACGAGGCAACGAAAACAACGGTCAAAGTTTATGTAAACATGTACCCTGCTCGGCCTTGTTCCGAAATTACGACCATTTTTGTACTCCAACGACTCTTAATCGCTAAGCTATTATGACTGGTTCTATTAAAATGTTTGTATACAATGTTCGATAACTCGTTGTTTTCCTCAATGAGAGATTGCCAAGTCAATCGCGTACGATTATTGGAAAAAATTCCATTATGTATGCGTCACGTGTAGTTTGTCGAACGATTTTCTAACCAGTGGAGATATGTACAATCGTGCAGGATAAATTGCTTGACCTTATCTGTCCCCAGAAGTAAATCCATTGACTTTTTATTCTTAGGGTCACTTAAAAACATTTGTTTTTTTTATACTAACTGCCGGTATTGAAATATTTCGGATATATAATAAAATATTAGATAAAGTGCAGTTGTTTACTACAAATTCGAGGCTGTAGATATTCCGCGAACTTCTTATTTTTCCAAATAATCTAAGTATTTTGTCGAATTTGTTGGTAGCTTTCTTTATACAGGGTGTTCGGCCACACCTGGGAAAAATTCTAATGGGAGATTCTAGAGACCAAAATAAGACGAAAATCAAGAATACTAATTTGTTGATGGAGGCTTCCTTAAAAAGTTAATAACGTTTAAAGTTCCGCCAGTACTGAATTTTTGTTTAGAAAATGGGTGGGATTTCGGGTGTAGGTCTATTCACCAAAAATGCTTGTAATCGAACCCTCTCGTTAAATATAATTTTTTTAACATGATTTGGAATTTTTTAATTTCGTCTAAAAATTTCAGTACCTACTCGAATTTTTTTCTCGAAAGTGGGTAGGATTTCGAGGGTATGTCTAATGATATAAAATGTTTGTAATTGACCCCTCTCACTAAATATAATTTTTTTAGTATGGTCTGAAATTTTTTAATTTCGTCTAAAAATTTCAGTACCTTCTCGAATTTTTTTTCTCGAAAGTGGGTAGAATTTCGAGGGTAGGTCTATTCACCAAAAATTATTGTAATTGACCTCTGCAACCGAAAATAATTTTTCCAGAACGATTTGAAATTTTTTAATTTAATTTTTTAATAACTTTTTAATGAAGCCTCAGTCAAGAAATTGATATTCTTGATTTTCGTCTTATTTTGGTCTCTAGAATTTTTCATTAAAATTTTTCCCAGAGGTGGCCGAACACCCTGTATATGTAGCCAAAGAATTTTAATACCGACAGTTAGTATTGGGTAAATAAATGTTTTTAAATGGTCCAAAGAATAACAATTAGATGGATTTATACTTCTGGGGAAGATAAGGTCAGAAAATTTGTTCTGCACGATATACGGCATCTCTGTCCGTTAGAAAATCGTTGTGGAACACGTGATGCATATCTAATGGAATTTCTTCCAATAATTCATACAATTGGCTCGGCGATCTCCCACTAAAGAAAACAATGAGTTATCGAACATCAGAGCTAGCTATAATAGCGCTCGGTTGGTGATTAAGAATCATCGAAGTACAAAAATGGGTATAACTCGGGAACAAGGTCAAATAGGGCACGTGATTACATGAACTTTTCTCGATGTTTTTGTGTCATCAATCGATCGCTAAAGTGAGTTCCAGATACTAGGATACGCCCGTTATAGCGAAAGTTTTATTTAAATAATCGTTATTTACAGTTTGTTATTTTAAATAATTAGCCCGATTCTGTGCAACACGACGAGAATTATGCCCTTCGAAGCGGTATCGGTAATTTTTCGGAAAAATACTCGTTACACGTAGAATCATACCTTGCTCCTAGATATTTATATTTTACGATTAAAAATATAATATTTTAAATCATGACAAATGAATCCATAAAATCGTTTGATTGGATATTCTTAACCCATTTGTATTGAAGCGCCATACTGTTGCGGTTCGCTGTTATGTCATTCCAAGCCTGGACATTATCCAAATAAATTATTTGAAAAAATAATTATATTTGGCTACATTTTAGTTGAAATAACTACGAGTCAACTTATTTTAACGATCGAATAATTTTTCAAATGACATTTCGTTATTTGGATTTTGAATCTAATTCTGTGTGGACTGCGCCACATGCAAATTTCCATATACTGTCTCGTGTAGAAATACAAGTTCAGAACATATGTTGAAGCATAAATATATAAAAACTGAGTAAACGCAATTAGGTGATCTGCGCCAGTTAAGTAATTTCCTTTAGGAAAACAAATGAAGCAATAACATCGGAACTGCATTCATTTGCAATTGGAACAACAAATAATAAACTATTTACTTGTTGACTGTCGGGTCTTTTTACCGATGACGTACAAAAATGAATTCATAAGAGAAAATGTTAACACGTTACCGACGGGAAACGAGTATTCTCGTTATATGACAAGTGTGTGTTTTTCTAGTAATTTCTCCAATAACACAAGAAAAAAAAATTCTAATATTATTCACATATAATATATTAATTACAAAAATACTTATCACGTTGAAGGAATTCTATGTATATTATTAAAATAATCGTATAGGAAAGTTTTAATAAAAATGCCCCGTCGTTAATGTGTTAAGAAAAATAAACGTAAATAGGACTCATGAATTTCGACAAGTTCAGAACAATAAATATCACGACAAATTTTAAATTAAATAGTTTTCAACCGTCAATGAGCACAATTTAAATGAAGTAACTGAACAAATTATTTAGAAATAATTTACTTAAATTAAACGCAAAATAAAGTCAATTTTCTATATTATCTGTGTAATAAAAATAATAAAGTATGTGAAATAATATGATTATTTGTTATCTTATTTCATATAAAATGTGCCCAGACCTGTTTCATTCAATATATGGCATTAACACCCAGAAGAATAACCAGTAGATTATATTACACTACTCGAAAATTAAGGAGCCATTATTTTCAAACAATCTAAAAATAAATACCGAGCAGATCAATGTACTTTTGAAACAACAGTGTTTGAAATATTGTTTCAGATAACGTGTTATCTTATTTCATGAAATAACTTAATACTCTTGGAAATAATCAGACACTAAAGTTGCGAATACCTAAAAAAATAATATCTTGCATTGAGGTATAATATTTCTGTTCCAATAAAAAAGAAATATCGAATGTATGACGCGAAGGATGTTCCTATTCAGGATTTCCGCGTATAAATGCTTCCCTACACTTCATTTTTGTATCATTCACTGTAATTATGATCGTATCTACTTCCTCAACGTTTATGAATCCCATTTTCCTTATTATGATAAGTAGTTGTAATTCCTGGTTAAGTAATACTAACGGAATGTACGTCATTTTATGAATAGAGCCAATTTTGATTCAATAAATTGTAACTGTTGAATTAATAATCGGATGAGAATGAAATTTTCTATGCTTATACTGAAAACTATGAATTATATGAATGAAACGTATTCTTATCTGTTCTCCCTACAGATCAATTTTTAACCCCCCGGTAACCGTGCCTGGGTCAGTATAGAACCAAGTCTATCATTTTTTCTATTTTTAAATTAAGACACTAAAATATTATATTTTTAATAGCGCAAATAAATACAGTATTTGAATAGAATAACAAAAATACAAAAAAATACAAACAATGTTCAAAGAACAACAAAAATAATATACAAGGTGTTTAGCCACCCCTGGGAAAAATTTTAATGGGAGATTCTAGAGGCCAAAATAAAACAAAAATCAAGAATATCAATTTCTTGACTGAAGCTTCGTTTAAAAGTTGTTAAAAAATTGAATTAAATTTTTTCAAATCGTTCTAAAAAAATTATTTTTAGCTAGGGGGGGTCAATTACAATAATTTTTGGTGAATAGACATACCCTCGAATTTCTGCGTATTTTCGAGAAAAAAATTCAATACAGGCGGAAGTTTAAATGTTAATAACTTTTTAACGAAGCCTCTATCAACAAATTGGTATTCTTGATTTTCGTCTTATTTTGGCCTCTAGAATGTCCCATTATAATTTTTTCCAGGGCTGGCCGAACACCTTGCATACTCTTTGCAATGTATACATACTAAATAAGTTTTTGATGTTGAATATTCTTTGCATACGTGTCTTTGGTATTTATCACACCTAATTTATATTTATTATCGCTTTCGACGCACATGTTACGTCTACCTCGTTTCTAGTCTAGAATAACTGTTACTTGTCTTTGAATCTTTCTTTCTGTAGCCTCAATAGCATTTATAATTTCTTTGTTGGCTTAAATCACTCATCGCGAGAATTACTTCTAAAGAAATTGATTCTAGTATAAACCTACTTCTAATACCATCCCCTAAAGTTGGGGGTTTCCGAAGAGCTAAAGGATTAAAGCCAGTGGTACCCGATTTTGGGGTCCCACGATTTATAGTTTGAAAAATATTTAACATTAAAGTTATTACACTACTTGAAATTATTTTCTAAATCATTTTTCTTCGATTGACTTTTTAGCTTTGTGAAAACATTTATTTTTACAATTATTTCCCCAGTTATTTGCATCCAGATGCAAAGGTGCTAAACGATTTTTAATCAAAAGTATGCGTGAACCGCGATAGAAAGTGTTAGTGTTAAATTTGAAACCGTGATCTCCAATTATTTCCAAATAACGTCGTAGGAAATAAAAGTGAAGCGTTGTTTCTCATTTTTGTTTCAAATAAAATGTGGTCAGATTGGATACCGGGTACACACAATTATCTGCGTCAGACTTTAATTTGTTTACCCTATATTAATTTTAAGCAGTATGGAAAAGGAGTCAGTAATAAGCTATAGAAGTGACAGTTTATTGCAACAGTATGTTGCGCGAGTTTTAAAGGGTGCGATGAAAACTGAATAATTTCTAAAGGGGGGCTCAGAATCATAGTAGTATTCGTATAAGAAAATTTCAATCATGCTCAAAAACATGGTTTTCTCCGTACATGTTGTGCTCGATATTCAGTACATTATACGATTCACAGCACTTTCGGATAGTATTGTTCCGCCATCGAAAGCATTGTCTATTCTTATCGCGTGACCGTTAACAAAAAAAACAGATGCACGTACGAAATCGTCTATACTCTTTTCAGATACGCATTTTCCAGACGAATACTGACAGGGCTAATATTCAGTTGTATGGGCGATGCACTACTGGTGTGGCCCAGTTGTTTCACGCCTGGAATGTGTATGTTTGCCCTCGCCCAGATAATGTACATCAGCGCATTTGGTTTTATACCGCTTAACATAATGCTAGGTACAATTCTATACGCTATGTGTTCGCTAGGTGAGATTTTTACGAACAAATAACATCTTTATCCTTGTAAGGTCATCAATAAATTCTCAGACACAGGTCCGTTCCTGACGCGAGTATAAAGGGTGTCGTTTATTATACGTAAAATTTTTATTAATAAGAATAAAATGAAATTAACTTTGTATATAATCTTGGTAATACTATTTGTATACAAAAATAATTTATTTTTGTATATGATCCGAAATAGCTATGATATAAAGCTATATTTATCAACTGTCCATAATTATTACTAACATTACATAATTGGTCAGTACTGATTTTATATTTATGTATAAATATTATATAAAATATGCTGACGTATTTATCAATAAGAGTTTCATTGCTGAATTAATATACAGGGTGTTCGGTCACCCCAGGAAAAAATTTTAATGGGAGATTCTAGAGGCCCAAAATAAGACGAAAATCAAGAATACTAATTTATTGATGGAGGCTTCGTTAAAAAGTTATTAACATTTAAAGTTCCACCCGTACTGAATTTTTTTCTAGAAAGTGGGTGGGATTTCGGGGGTAGGTCTATTCACTAAAAATGCTTGTAATTGATCCCTCTCACTAAATTTAATTTTTTTAATATGATTTGAAATTTTTTAATTTCGTCTAAAAATTTCAGTAGCTTCTTGAATTTTTTTCTCGAAGGTGAGTAGAATTTCGAGGGTATGTCTAATGACCAAAAATGATTGCAATTGATCCCCGCAACCGAAAATAATTTTTTTAGAACGATTTCAGACTTTTCAATTTCCCCGAGTTTCAGGAGAATCATCATTCATGGTCAGACATTAGATTTTCGGTAAAGAATTTTTTTCTCGAAAATGCGTAGGATTTCGCGGTATGTCTATTCATCAGAAATGCTTGTAATTGACCCCCGTAACTAAATATAATTTTTTTAATCTGATTTGAAATTTTTTAATTACGTCTAAAAATTTCAGTACCTTCTCGAATTTTTTTCTCGAATGTGGGTAGGATTTCGAGGGTATGTCTATTCACCAAAAATGATTGTAATTGAGTCTCACAACCAAAAATGATTTTTTCGGAATGATTTGAAATTTTTTAATTTAATTTTTTAATAACTTTTTAACGAAGCCTCCATCAACAAATTAGTATTCTTGATTTTCGTCTTATTTTGGCCTCTAGAATCTTCCATTAAAATTTTTCCAGGGGTGGCCCAACACCCTGTATAGATATAAAAGTAAACACTACATCCCTTATTGAATAATATTAAATTAATAAGAGCGGCGATATTATCTTTGCACCTGAGCAATCAACAACTCAGCAACGGTCCTGCTCATATATCGTGTTTAATAATGTATTAAATAATTATGCAATTAATTGAAGTTTCAACTAGTCAGAGAATTTATTGATTACTTTTAAAAATCAGGTAAGTTAATTTCAATATAACTTCGTATTTTAGTCATATATACCTTGATGCCTGGTTTGAACGGTATCCTGGTCATCGGAGTTCCAGTTTACACTGTGCTTTTGACTACCATGGCATGGAGAGCAATTTCAAGAGTTCAATTTTATAGGGTATGCAGAATATTAAAAGAAATACTATTTCTTTCGCTCGTACGGTGTTTGTCAATCTCTGAAAAAAAATCAACCACGCATAAAAACCAAGTCACTTAGTTGTTTCCCAAACCTTGTTTCGTTTATTTCTTAGGCGACCACCGAACTTTTTTCCACATAAAGTGCGCAATGGAGTTTTTAATCGACATTGGCAAGAAAAATCATTTACCGAAAATCTTTTTGGCAAATGTATTAATATTAATTGCATCTATTACTTAAATTATGAATTAATTAACATCATTTATTAGAAGAGATAATATTAGAAACATTGTATAACAAAAATATTTATAAAAACAGACGTATCTGCTTAATCCTCTAAAAAATATCATTTACAATTTTGCTTGTTCAACGCGAATCTTAAATTTCAGTCAATTAAAGGAAAACGTTACCTAATGAATTTCGTACGGTCGCCTAAGAATTAAAATACATAAGCACTAGCAGAAACAGATGGAGCATTTTATTAAGTATGAATATGACCTACTAATTTTATTAAGGAGGTAAAAATATCACGTGTTCCGCAGGAAAAGGTCAGCTTGTTCCGGTCGTGTGTGAATATCACGTCTTCGCTCTTGCACAATGTTGAACAGATTAAAAAATAGAGTAAATTACATGGTGTAATGTGATAAATAACAAACAAATTTAAAGTAACTATTATAGAAACGATCACAAATTACGTCACGTTTATATTCATCTTTTGATTCAGGGAAGAGGGGGGTACATTCGAACATAACAACAAGGCAAGGAGTGGACCAAAATTAGCCGAGTTTAGCGTGATGTAATTTATGACCGGCTCCTGTCGGTCCAAAATCACATTAACCCTTTGCGGACGATCACCACATATATGTATATACAAGATGTTCGGCCAACCCTGGGAAAAATTTTAACGGGAGATTCTAGAGGCCAAAATAAGATGAAAATGAAGAATACCAATTTGTTGATTGAGGCTTCGTTAAAAAGTTATTAACGTTTAAAATCGCGTGCACGCAGCTGTACGCAGATCGCCGTTCTACAGGCCGAACTTTAAACGTTAATAACTTTTTAACAAAACCTCGATCAACAAATTGGTATTCTTGATTTTCGTCTTATTTTGGCTCCTAGAATCTCCCATTAAAATTTTTCCCAGGGTTGGCCGAACACCCTGTATATTTATTGGCGTAAATCGTCAATGTGGCCTATGATCCGCAAAAGGCTAAAGCGGATGTATCATTGAGAATCCGATCGTTCTCGCAAACGAGCTGAATATAAACTTATGTACAAGTTTTAAGCCGAGATTAGAAAACGCTGACACAGAAAGGCAATAGCGGTTCGATTTATTGCAATTGCTCGACGTTTCGCGTAGTTAAATAAATTTAATTTGTTCTTCACCAGGAATTATGGACATGGACTAAATTATGCAGCTGCATCGGGAGCATATGTTTCCTCATATCTGATACTTTGCTCGGTTTTCACTATTTCCACACTCCGTTACCTTACTCTCAGGTATAGTAATCAAAGTTGTATGTAAATTGCCAAAGCGAGTTTATCACTAATTCATCGGATTGGCTTTCCAGGTCTCCATAATGCTGACGTATTACGCGGCTCAATTGGGAATAGCATTGAGCGCGGTGGGCTCTAAAAATAATAACGTTAGCAATAATAGAAATGACGCGAACCAAGTAAAGGGTTGAAAGGATTTGATCTCCTATTCGCAGACTGTAAATAATAACCGAATGATCTGTCTTATACCGCTCAAAATGATTAGAGGATTATCCTAACCGGAGAATTAACAAAGTATTTAAATTAATAGAACTACCTTTACTCACTACTAAATATTTAATTTCTATAGTATAAATTTAACAGATAATTTCTCTAATTGTTTTGAAGCTGTGTATCGCACTAGAGATTATATAGTTCGTCGTAGCATAATTATCGTAAGTAGTTACAATGCACTCGATCAAATGATTTATGGCAATGATAATACTAAGATCATGACACTGCCACCTTTCTGAGGCAAAAGTTTTTATGGAATTATTTGATGATTCGTTGCATTGTGTATTTGCTGTAGAATACGGTCTTCGCGATTGTTTATGAAGTGCTTTCTTTATGTTTGACGACAGAGTCGAACAGAGGAAAGACGTACCTTCGATGCTGTGAATTTTTAGAAATACTTTTGTATTAGTATTCAATGGTAATTAAGATGTTTTGCAATCGTAATGTTTTAAATTTCAACTGTCGTGTGCTTTACGAAGTTTATGAATTGAAAGGTCACGCGAGTTGCGTATTCTCGCATTTATTTTTTAATCAGATTTTGTAGAAAATATTTTTTTGTTTCCGCGTTCTTTGTCAAGATGCTTTCCAATGGATCTACAAATGTGAATACATTCCATCGGTTCTTGATCAAAGATAAACGACGTGACTTTCAAATTAGACTATTGACAGTAGTATTTTCGTGCATCCTTCAATTACAACAATAACGATGTTTGCAAACACATTGTACGCATATTTTGTGTATTAGAAGTACACACTACGAACCAAATCGTACTTTTTGTACAGTAGCAAAAGAAGTATAGAGTATTTCGTATATTACGAGTTAAAGTTGAATGTTAGTTAACTATGTATAGATAGAACGACGTAAGTTATAAAAACTTTACATGTTTGATGCTGTTTTCTCGTGTTACACAAAATTAAAAGAGGGAAGAACAGTTTAGAACATTTTATAAAGTCTTATAGTTCAATTTCTAAGACAAATGACATTTATCTAGACTAGGTAGACTGTATTATTTTACTATTGCATTTATCAGTAATTGTATAGGTATTAGGAAATAGTGATGCATTTAATCTATTGTGTATCGTCATGAGATGCACGAAGTGAAACACTGACTCAAAGAACAAGAGTAATATTATTTTTTCAATAAAACTATTTTTTGTATTGATTCAAAGGAAACGAACGGTTTTCTTTTATAAAATCTATTTTCTATTTTAGAATCTAATAATCATAGTGATCGATTTGCAAGTGATTATAGTACACGCGTAGCAAATCTCGATGACATATCATTTAACTGAATTAATCCTTTGAACTGCAAAAATAATCTGATTTCATTAGCATGAATAATTAAAAATGGAATAAACTTACGATACAAATAAAAGTATTAAAGCACGAATAGATTTTCTGAATAAATTCAGAACTCAGTATTTACTATTCTTTTTTTTTGTAATTAGAAACTCTATCGTACACATATTATGAACAAACATATTCGAAATATTTAAATACTACAATTCCCGTATACAAGTTTAGCATAATACTGAAATACATTTAGGGTGCATGTATTTCGAAAATAAAACATTCAGAGATATGTGATACAAAACATTCTAGAATATACTCTTCAGATCTTTTTTTCTCGAGTTATATAAAATTACTAGTCTTTAAAGAACTTCCAAAAAGATTATTCTTTAACCTTTTTCGGTACGTATGTCCACCATATTGAACGGTTGAAAGGGTTAAAAATAATCTGTTAATGTAATATTTTTATAGATAATTCGTTACAAAACATTGTAAGCAATGTGAAAGATGTTGAGAAATGAAAATCACATGTTTTGTAAACCTACATGACTGCCTCTCAAATTCCATAATCTGAGTCCTATATTAAATTGGCGGAAAGAATATGCAAATTTAAATTGTATTTTGTATATAATTAAAGTTTTACTATGTCAAACAAATAATGTTTTATTTAGTTTCTACTCCAAAAATTTCAGAAAATAACAATTGTTACTGTAGAACCAGGGTTTCTGCACCTCCTCGCCGAACAACGATACCATTTGATTGCTTGCTTTCCTCGGCATATTTTATCTTACATTTAAACAGCCTAGAACAATACAATGAAAAAGGAAAATACTACGCTACTGTGGGTATTTTATATCAATCATATTGTCAAATTTTGGTATTTTACTTACGACAAAATGTCATTCCACATCTGCGCTTGCTTTTCCTGTATCGTACTACTTTCCTTTAATTGTTCTCTTTCTAACGTCAAATTTTTTATTTTGGTTTCCTCTGCCCGTATAGCAGCATTTAATTCCTCCTTGAGATTTTTACCAGGATTGGAAACACTGGGGTCCTACATAATGCATTAACATTGTATCTAGCGTATGAAAAGTTGTTTTTAAATAAATGCAATTAGCGCTAAAATAAAATTTAACAAACCTCCGTATCACGTTTTATTTTCTCGTCGATAGTTTTCATTCTAATTACAAGTTTCTCTAATCTCTCCTTTTCTTTAGTATCCTTGCATAATACATAATTAATAACATCAACACACAAATCCGTAATATAGTTTACAACGAATTACAGTAGTGCTCATTTAAGTGTCCGCGCTCAGGACTAATCGCGGACAGTTAAGTGGGCACTACTGTATCTGATAAATAAATTAATAATGTACATATAATACAGATAATTACCTTTTCCATTTTCACTTTCAAATTTTCTATCTCGGATTGCAAATTATCAATCGACGCACTCATACTTGATTCTATATCACTGTGAGCCTTTTCAGCTTTTTCGTGCTGTTGCTCAAATTCTCGCGATTTTCCTCGTAACGTTTCAACTTCTATAATACATTTAGATTACCGCGAGTTTATTAATTGCGGTGTATTATTATTTCATACCATTTATCAATGGAACCAATTTCGCTCGAAGAGAGGAAATATCTCGCGACAATTGAAGATTCGTGGAGGATGCATTTTCCTCGGTAAAATCATCATCCAGAATGTTTTCCTTGGTTGACTCTAATATTTGCTTCGTTTGGTTAAGCTAAATGACAAAATCTTATTGTCGAACTATAATTAACCCATTAACTGGGAATGACGAGTTCAAATATCACGAATATTTAAAGACAGTCCGCGTAAACTTAAACTCGAGAATTATTTGATTTTTATTAACGTCATATTGCCACAATATCTTAAACTTTTTTTTTCATTTGCATGTATTTGTATCAGAAAAGACTTCTTAATAACGTCGAAAGCGTAAACATACTTTGCGTATAAGAATTCCAGTTCGAAGTCCTTAGAGCAATTGCAAATGTACTTTGGTATGTCACAAATGAAATACTACATTATCATTTTAGTATTTCAATAATGAAAAAAGACAAGAGATTTAGCACAAGATAGAATCTCTAATTTTTACGGAAATAAACATTTTGAAGCAAGATTTTATATATTTTTTCAACGGATTTTGGTGCACAATGCAATAAAAAATCTTTCTATAACCACTCGAGGTCGGAAAGATTCATACCTTTTTGTTATGTAATCCATTAGAAATTTAATATACTAACGTACTAATATTTTTTTTTTTTAATACCTGATTTTCCAAAATGGCCGTTGTTCGATAAAGAACACTATTTTCCGCGTTGAGCCACGCCAACTCGCCTTTACAGTGCTTATAAAGCGTACTCCTAGTTTTTAAACGATTTATATATTTCTTCAATTCATCTCCTTTCGGCGCCATATCTCCTAGAGCCATTTTAGATAGCTCGCGTTTTTCTTCCAATTTCGTTTGTAATTCTTGCAAAGAGTTCTCAGTTTTCTCCAATCGTTCCAGCGCATTTTTTTTAATGTTAGCAACAGCAGCTGCTTGTTGCCGAAACGGTTCCATTTTGTCAATACTGCTGTTTGAAATCTAAACGAATTCCATCGGTTGCGAACAGTGTGTATTAAAAAGTAATAACAATATGTTCTATTCGATTAAGATTCACCTTGAGCTCTACCAAATCTTGGATCTCTTTTGCTATGACATCTAATTTGTTTCTTAAAAAAGTTATTTGCTCTGGACCTAAATATGAATACTGCTTTACCGCGGTTAAAGCTTTCATACGATTTTTCTTCGCGCTCAATTCTGCTGGTTGCTTTTCATTTGTAATTATACTCTGAACGGTGACTACTTCGGACAACTGTTGCAACAATGTTTGCGCTGTAACTTCGCTCTCGTCCCTTTTTAAAATTTCCAATTCTCGTTCCAATCTTTGGAGAGAAATCTAAAATATCAAGGTCCGATAAAATTAGCGTGGCTTTGTATATATTCTTTATAGGATCGTTTTCAGTGTGATCAGTGTCTTTCAGAAGAATGTTTCTATATTAAAGACTCTAGTAATATTCGAGTAATCATTTGATCGGTTACAAAATTGTAGTCGATTATCAGTGATCAACAGCGGTAAGAACATTACTAATATATTCGCAGGAGAACTTGAATTTACCTGTAACCGGGATATAAATTCTTTCTCCTGTTCTTCCTGCAACGCAAGATCACGTTCTTTATCTCTTTCTACGCGCAGTGCTTTTGCAGCGTCTAATAAATGAACCCCCGTTTCTGCTTTCGCCTTCATTTTATCAATACGTATTATCACCGCCTACAAATATGATTAACACGTGCATTAAACATACATGCAACATATGATTCGCTTGTGCTCATACATCGATATCATTTTTTACCTCTTTTTCTTTTTCCATAGTTTTCAGATCAGCGGTAAGTTCACTGGCGTTTTCAAAATTCTAAGTCCAATAAACGAACAGTGAATAAACTCAATGATGCATGAATAATTTGAACACTTGTTTATTTTTTACCTTCTTCCCTATCTCCCTTTCCTTGTGAACGGTTTTGAACCGATCGATCAAAGCATTGTATTGTTCGTACAAAGAGGAAACCTCCGGATCGCTCAAATACTCGGCAGGAACCTCCACCTAATTGACGATAATGAAGTCACTCGCTGTAAATGACTTTAAGAGGGACACTAGGTCTGTATATAGAAATACCTTCACCAGGAAGCGAGATAAATAGGCTCTTTTTCGAACGGTGTCTACATGGGACAAAAGCCAAGTTAGGATAGGATGGATCGTTTCAAGATCACCCCGAACGAGGCCTTGCCTGTATAAATAAAATTCAATAAAAATTATTTAAAATTTATAACAATCGGTACAACAAATTAAAATGAGAATTTGTCCTATTATTGTTACATAGAAAAAAAAATACCGAAAACTTGTAGGATCTGTTTGTGGTTGATAATTAAGTACACGAAGAGCGAACAAAATATTAATGGCAGTCTCTTCAGGGGTCTCGTTTTTCGCGTCGACATTAGCATCATTTTGATCCTGTATTTTGATTAACACGTCCCTCAATACCTGCAATAAACAATTGTAAATAAAAAGACCCCTGAACAAACCGATGTACGCCAACTCGAAAGTTAAAAAAAAAAAAAAAAAAAAATCAATTAGAAACTGGTTTGCATACAACCAGAAAACAAGTTTGAGTTGCGATGAAGCGACGCTTACTTGTAACAATTCCTCCGGACTCAAAGAATTGAAATAAATAATGTTGTAATTACGTCCTAACAATTTGTTCACTCCTGTTACGATGAACTTCATATTTTCCTTCATGATTGTTGTGCCTCGATATGTTCTCTTCTTCAAAATACACAACGCAAACTGAAATGGAATAAATATGCTGCCTCTATGTTATCATAATTGGTTCCCCTGACAACGGCGGCATGTGCGCCATTATAACTAGTTTCTCTTTAAAAAGTATACGCGCACCACAAACTATACGCGCGACACACAAAAACCAAATATTTGTCATCTCTATGATGACCTTTTGGATAAAATTAGTTGCTAATTAAGCGAAGCACGTGGCTGGCTCTCTATCGAAGATCCTCGAAAGGTCATTTAATTTTCAACTCTGCGTAATTGTTGACATACCTTGAAGGTGTGTTGGTATCGATTTTATCACAATCTGCACTTTGACTGTTTCGATAGATGTGCGACGTATTTAATAACAAATCATCGCAAAAAAAAAATTTCTAATCAACGGGGTATATCTAAATCGTACATTAAATTTTCATACAATAATTAAACGTTACGACAAAATAACAAATTCTTAATGGATTTTTATAAGTTTCGCGTCTGAATTATTATTCTAATGACTATTCCTAATGATCTGGAAAAAGTCTTGTAGGTCTTCGCTCGGGATGCTCCAATGCCTTTACGGCGAATGAAAAGCGCAAAAAATTATAAATTTAGCTTTAAGAATAATCATTACCTTTATTAAAAGAAAGTTTCTGAAACATAAGATCATCATTAGCAGACAATTAGATCGCACTGCCTCGCTGGAATTTTAAATATACTCTTCAAAACTTAACGTACGATTTTCTCGTTATAAAATTGGAAGTTTTTCATAGATGCTCGGGCATGAAAGGTTTATTCCACGCGTGAAAATTGAGCTCTGCGTTTTTCCCCCGTTTAATAACATATTTCGTTACGCACTTTCGATATGAAGTCAGATTCGTTCCAGCGAACTAATTTTTTGATATAACATAACACAGCGATAGATTTAAATCTTGCGGGAATTCATATATTCATCAGCGGTGTGTATTTCTGAGCATAGTTTATTTCATAATACTATACTGAATCTTAATTTTACTATTTAACAAACCTCAACCCTAAACAGTGTCAGTTTTTCCTTTTTTTTTATATATATATATATTTTTTTTTTTAATAGATGCCGCTAGAACAACATTTCTATGCGCTTATGTGCGTTAACAGGTGAAAGAGAGTACACCGAAGTTATGTTGACAGAAAAATATTTACTGGAAAGTCGGCTCGAGCATGATTGAAATTGTGTTTTGTGTTTTTCTCATCTCTGTTCTGCTGTTCTAGTTGTACATTATATATTATGGGCAACTCTTGTTAACTCTTACAATATCGTGTTATAAAAATGGCTTGTGAAGTCTTATAAAAGAACCATGCTAGTCATACTTGTGACGATGTTTAATAATCAGTCTAAAATTTGAACAATGTAGCAACATCGTGATAATCAAATACTGCATGAAAAATCATTTGAAGATTGCACTATATATAAATAGTATAATATATATGTATAATCTATATTTATCATATATATAAGTACCGTAATATTGGGTATTGGATGTTACATAAAAGATAGAATTTAAATGGGCTGGATATATAAAAACTTATAAAAAAAAAAAAATAACGAAAAGGACAAATAAGAATAGGTTTTTTCTAAGGGTGTATATCGCCTTATGATAATACATTTGCAAAATTCTGTGCACAATATAAAAAACTGCAAAATTATGATAATGACTTGACTGGATACTATGCGACATCGTGTTTAGCATAGTTTAAATTTTAAATAGAGTTATTATGCTCGAATACACGATATCACGATGCATCGATAATATTAACCTTCCTTTAGACTCCAATCCTTGAACTTGTAAGAATGTCAGAAGTCAAACGAATTAGAGAGTCGACGAATCTGTTGCACAGCATCACAGAATGAAAGGACAATTTACAAATTACATAAAATAATGATTGCAGGCAATCAATCGGTTTGGTTTACATTCATTATTGACGACTATTAAATATAACTTCCGCAAGCATAGTAAGATAATAAAAATCATATGTGAATTTTTATGAAAGTTACATACTTAGGTGCACTTACTGTTTGAACACTAAAAATTGATTAATTTAAAATCGCCAGTATTGAACTCAACCTCGCATCATTATATACCTAATATAAAACAAGAACACAACAAACTTTTTGGCATACACAATACATTTCACATGTAAGATTGTATGTCAAATTGGTTTTTCCCCCCTCTTCTTATTCAATTAATTAGCTCCCTACCCTTTTGCAGTTTTCTACATAATTTTAGTCATTGCCTTATCTCCCGAGATAAGTAAAACAGCAAGTCAATAGCATCAATGTATGTATACTTTTACTCTTTTACTGGGAGCATATTTTCGCTTAAAAAACAAATTTCCATTGTATACAGAATGTAATTTCTCTTACAGATGGCGACGTGATTTAAGGTATTCCATGTAGCATGTGTGAAGGGAGGAAGAAAGGATGGTAAACATAGAATATGAATCCAGTTTATCCGCTCTTGAAGAGGAGAATGGCTACCTGACCCAGGTAGAAATAGATAAAATGTCTTGTTTCGTGCGTCACATAGCTTCCAAAGTTTCGTCCTACGATGCAATGCCACGTCGGATTGTACTTTTTATCGAATTCTTTTTTAATAAAGGCTGCGATATCCTTAAAGAAAGGAAATAAAAATTCAAACCTCGAATCGTATGTTCCTCCTACTCCATTTCTTGTTGCAATTAATCAATTAAACATAATGACCAAGAACAAAGTTATATTTCATCTTACTCTACGTTCCATGCTAAGTTGCTAGAGATATATATACCATACATTCAGTTTGACAAAATGAAATCAAACTTACCTTCTCGATATTAAACTTTTCAAGTGCCTGAGTCGCACAATCGACAGCGTCCTGCTGCATCTCCTCAGACATGTCGGCATTCTTAATTACAGCCTTTCTGTCCGACATTTTTGTAGTTCTGAAACCCGTAAGAGCAACAATAAATACTTAAATGTGCCTAACAACAAAGAACCACAAATACAATAAGCTATCCTAATCACAGTTCTGAAATGGTAGCAGTTTCAACGTGGGAGAACCAGTACCATTAGTAGTTCTGTAAATAGGAAGAAGGAAAGAAATGATCGCATACGCGATCGAAAAAGTAAATTTTAAACCTGGAATTAGGAATACGTGCAATTTTTACAGTAGCGTACACGTCATGTGCCGGCATGACAATACGATCGCGAATATATAAATTGGATCAAGTTAATAAGTACAAAACGAAATGAGCGATCGCGAGGACGACAACGGAGGCGAACGCGGGAGGATAATGTTTTGTCGATACGACGCGACGATGAAAATAATAATCGACGAGCACGCGATCACTAGGATAAGATTCGAATCGAGAATGCGCATACATAAGGTTCTTTGCTCCTGTCGATGGAATTATCGAAACTCCGTACCGAACTTGACGTATAAGCTGCCTCTTTCCCGGTCGAAAATGAAAAATGCTGTTTCGAATAGAATAACACTCGACATACCTTTCGGAATTGACACTCTCACCAGTAGCATACAAGGAAACGATCGTTATATTATACTGCGACGGTTGCGCGTACTTATTTCTGTTTTTATTCTACGTGAACTGATTTATACACCAAAAATTTTCGTTCGCTCAAGCCGACAGCGACTATTCCTCGATCGAGTTCAAGACTGAAGTGCCCGTACCGCGATCCTAGCCCCTGATTGGCTCACGATTAGGGTCTTCTATCACGGTCTTCTATCAACCCATCATGCCTCGCTGCTAGCAACCCGCGTAAACATGAATTTGAGTAATCGATTGAAAATTTCAACGCGAAACACCAGTTATGTCTGTGTTTTTCCTATTTTTTTTATATTTGACCTGTCACGTCCGCAAAGATATCGTAAAAAATTAATTGTAAATACCGAAACCTATTAAAAATTTTGTATTTAAATTTGAATAGATTGTATTTTATCTGCTCAAAATATGCTAGGAAATATTGATAAAGCGTATATGTCACGCGAAAATGCTATTACTATTACCTTCGTAAACCTAAATCATAGATAATTTGAATACGATGTCGATAATAATAATAAATATATTTGCATGAGGTATAAACCACTTATACCTTGTTTGTGATGTTTGTAAACTGAAGATATTACCGTTTGCTGTATTTATTTTCAATTATAAATAAGTGGAATAGACATGATATCTTAAATCTATATATCTAGACAATTTTTAAATAATTTTCAGATCCTTGATTATTTAAAAATAAATGAGTTTTATACTCTTTGCAAATTTGTTGGTATGCATATACAAAATGGTGCCATGCAATTACTCACTCACTATATGACTACAAAATGCACGCACCTATGCATAAACAAGTAACTGCAGTACCGTAATAAGTTTTTATCAAACGAGAAATTTAATTTTTAGCAGACAATTTTACAAAATTAAGACATTGTAACTCAGACAACTCGATGAAATAACGATTTTATTTTGAACGATGAAAAATCTCTTTTGGACTTATAAATTAACAACATGATATGGTAAACATATTTTGACCTTACATTGCAACCAAAACATACCATTTAAATTTCAGTTTTATTTGAAACATATAGAGTATTGTTGAAATTAAATTAGTTGCTAATAAATTATTTTTAAAAATTTGTCGCAATTTTAAAAGCTTTCGTCTCCCAACTTTTGATATATTTGTACGAGTATGTGACTCAATGACGCATGCGCAATAAGTTCCAATGATTCTCAAAAGGTTTCACCTTTCACCAATCCAAGCTTCATCAAACGAGAGTTGATCAGTTGACACGGAATTCATCAGTGTTGTGGCAGTGCGTAGAATGCAGTAGAACGTAAAAATAAGTGCGACGTTTAAAAAAGCTATATTTATTTATAAATTATAGTTTCTTATAAGAAGAATCGAAGAATTTGTTTAAAATGTTTCGCGTCCTTGTATGCCTGTGCGCTGTATTAGCGCTGGCTAATGCAAATCTTGTGAGGTAAATATATCGACATTTAAACAAAGAAGATGATTATTCATCTTTGTAATCAGCAACACCGATAATTCTTTTCATTACATTTCATTTGTCTTTTTACGTTTACTTGGTACTACATATATGTTATTTACGTTCTACGAAATATGCAAATTATGAATACTTCACGAAATTCAATTATACAAACTCTCTTTCTAAATTTATACTTTTTTCTTATTTTAAGGATTCCACTGCACAAAATAGATAGTGTTAGAAAACAATTTAAAGAACTTGATACAGGAATGGTTCAATCACGCATTGTACAAGGAAGCGAACCTACTCCCGAGCCTCTTTCTAATTATGTTGATGCCCAATACTATGGTGTTATCAGTATTGGTACACCGCCTCAGGATTTTAGGGTAATATTTGACACAGGCTCTTCGAATCTTTGGGTTCCCTCTAAAAAATGTCATCTGACCAATATCGCTTGCAGTGAGTATATTTAAAAATTATATAAATCAGTTAAACATTGCTAATAACGGTTGACACTTTCAAGTGTAAGCTATGTTTTTCAAGGAAAGTATTGCAACATTTCGTTAGTGTTGAAACTAACTTCTTCGAGGAACCAAACATCACATTGATATTTGTGTGTATACATATCAATATTATTGTGCATATTACAATGCTATTCTTGAAAATCATAGCTTATACCCTTGATCGATATCAACTGTTACAATCTAACTATAAAGTCCTCAAATATTTTAAATATTGCTATAGCAATTAGTTAATAAAATGTTTATTGAGGAATGTACATATAATATGCTTTTAATATAAATGTATTTTAGTCAGGAAGCTAATTTACTGTTTGAAAAAATATTTATATGCATAAAATTTTCTGTAACAAGCATTTGAACTATTTTCTCTTATTTATAATGTTTGTTTCATATTGCATTTTCATGCTATACTTTACTAAGATAACCTTCCGTTTACAATCTTTATTCCAGTTATTCATTTTCAAGATATTTCAGACCTTTATTGTTTAATAACATTATTTTCAGAGATACAAAATTGTGACTAAAATAATATAATGACGATTGTAATTACACATGTAACGATACGATTGAATCTCGTATTGGAACTATACAAAATAAAATTAGTACTTGAAATTTGTTGCATGAGAAACTTAAAAAAGCAGTTTGTTAAACAGATTTTATTTTAGATCTGCAGAAAAGATATGCTATGCTATTACTTGTTGCTACATCTTTTAAAATATGTTGTCTTCTTCTAACAATCACGACGAAATAGTAAAACTTCTTGCATTAAATCACAAAATTTACATTTTTTTTGTATGTTAAAGATTATATCGGGTATAGGTCATCCATTGTGTGAAAGTTATAGGTAATGTTAGTGGTTTTATTCCGTTATTATCATGGTCATCCTGCGAACAATTAATCGGAAGAAAAGAAAAATCGCAAGTTCACAGAGTTTCATAATTTATAAAAAATTTTGTATTATTTTTTTGTAGAGTTGCATCGTAAATACGATAATACCAAATCGTCAACTTATAAAAAGAATGGCACTGATTTTGCCATTCGTTATGGTTCTGGAAGTCTCTCCGGTTATTTATCAACCGACACTGTACACGCAAGTATCGTTAAAGTTATAATCGCATATTTTTCTGTACTCAATAATTTTTCACGCATTCTTCGACTTAATTTACTTCTCGAGCACGGCTTTTAGTAAAGATAAGTGATAATGGTCGTTCTATCGTTTCGTTTTTGACGTAATCGAACTTTCTTCTCATTTTATCTATACAAACATTACTTGTGTTTATGAATAACATGATCACGCGCATGCTTCAAAATGAAAACAAAATTTACGACGATAATTATCCCTTACAGATCGCTGGGCTGAAAGTTACAGATCAAACATTTGCTGAAGCCTTAAGTGAGCCTGGATTGGCCTTTGTTGCTGCGAAATTCGATGGTATTATGGGAATGGCGTATTCGAGAATTGCCGTGGACGGTGTAACGCCAGTCTTCTATAACATGGTCAAACAAGGAATAGTACCCAGTCCTGTTTTTAGTTTTTATTTGAATAGGTACATCTGAATAATCGGCGATTGAATATTTCCTTCTCATACCAATGTCATGTTTAAAAAAACCTATATTAACATATAAATTTAGAAATCCTGACTCTGCCTTTGGCGGAGAACTGATAATTGGTGGTTCTGATCCAAATCATTATGAGGGTGAATTTACGTATGTCCCTGTAGACCGAAAAGGATATTGGCAATTCAAGATGGACAGGTATTATAATATTCAGAATACTTTTTAATCGTGTATTTTTCATGGAAACAGTAAGTACTTCGATTTACAATATAAATTGCAGAGTTCAAATTGGCGCTGATACTAATGTGTGTAAAGATGGATGCGAGGCTATTGCGGATACAGGTACTTCTTTGATAGCAGGACCCGTCGACGAAGTTAATGCTATCAATAAGAAAATCGGAGCTATTCCGATTGCAGCAGGAGAAGCATATGTAATTATGAGCTATTTACATTTATTGTTAATATGTTTAAAAAATAACACATATTTCATGTTTACAGGTGGACTGTAACTCGATTCCCAACCTGCCTACAATTGCGTTCGTATTTGGTGGTCGCTCTTTCCCACTAAAAGGCGAAGACTACATTTTGCAGGTAATGTACTTCCTATAAATGTTATCTTAATTTTTATTGAAATTTTGGTTGGTTTTTGTTAAAAGATAATAATATTGTATGTTTTTCTACAAAAGGTTAAAGCATTAGGAAAGACTGTATGTTTGAGTGGATTTATGGGAATGGACATTCCTCCACCTAATGGTCCATTGTGGATTTTGGGAGACACATTCATCGGCCGTTACTATACTGAATTCGATATGGGAAACAACCGAGTTGGTTTCGCTGTAGTAAAATAGATACATTTAAAAAGTTCGTACATGTAATCATTCCGCAAATTGTGTTATGTCTCCCGCGTTTAATAAGATTACTTGCGATTACTTCTTTCGTGTGTATAATAGAAGGAAATTTAAAATAATACTGTACTTCGTGGTTAAGCAGAACTGATTATATATAATTGTAAAATGTATAAAATGAATTCCTATAAGAGTAACGCAATAAATAATGTTTTTCACATTACAGATTTCACTTTAACATTTATCTTTCAAAGCAATATAGTTATATAAATTTTTTCCTATTATAAGTTTGTTTCTATTTACCGGTATTGATTTCCTAATGATAAAAATAAAAATTTATGAACTGACTTCTCATTCGTAATTTACAACATATGTATCACAGTCTTGTATACTCCGCCGCTCATTAATATTAGGACACTTGGCCGAAACATTGATAATCTTTGGATTGTTATAATTCTGAGAAAAGAAGTTATCCAATATTTCTCTTGGAAATTCTGTATCCGTCTAAACCTACTATCTATATGAGAATAGAAGGATTAGCTTTTAAAATAATCCCAGGAAGATATTCTTTTTAAGAAGTTAGTTACAATGGTCCAAAGAATCATAATTTTTTGACCAAATGTTCGAATATTTATCAGCAGCAATGTATGTACAGAGTTTAATGTCACTATATAAATAGTAAAAAAATACATGCCTTATTATTGATTTTTTCTTTTAACCGCGTGAACTGCATAATTTATTGCGGTCGATGTTGTCCAAAACCATTCGTTTTTCAGAGGGTTATAAAACATTCCATGAATTAATTTTGTTTTACAATCACCTATAAAATAACAATAGTTAGCAACAATACGAATACCAAGGTAGAATATGTTATTATTAGGAAAAATTATTTTACATGTTTCTAATAAACTCTGAATTTCAGCCGGAGTAATGAATTTGTTCCAGTCATGAGTGCCAGTTGGTAATAATTTTAAAACATGTTCAGCTGCGATGATACCTCCAAACCAAGAGGGTAACGTTTTATTCAATGTTGTAATGAATATTGAACCACCAGGTTGTAAAGTTTCTACGCAACACTGTATGGAAAAAGATGTGTTTTCATAAAATTCCGTTTAACTTGTTCTTGTTATTTAGAGAAAACTACTGTACTTTTAGAAACAATTCCTTGTTATTCACATGCTCCAAAACTTCTGAAGCTACCACAGTATTATATTTTTCTTTATTGTCTAGAGAAAAGTCTTCTATGTTTGTTTGAACATAGTTTAACTTTCCATCTAAACTGGTATCTAATGTTGCATGTTGCTTTGCAGTTGCTATTAACTCTGAGGATGCATCGATTCCAGTTACTTCCGCTCCTATTCTAACTAGCGGTTCTGCCAACAATCCTCCCCCGCAACCAACATCTAAAATTTTAATCCCTTCTAGAGGCAGATGTGGAGTTTCAGCCTGAATGCCTATATTTGCTAAACCGTCTCGTACAAACTGTACTCTGAGAGGATTCAACGCATGCAAGGCACGCATTTCACCATTTATGTCCCACCATTTATTGCTTAATTTAGAGTGATGCTCTACCGTTGCAAGATCTACGGTCGTTCTTTTAGCTGTAGTAGGTTTATCTAATTGATCAATTTGTTCATTTAGTCTAAAATCAAGAATCATACATGTCATTACAACTTTTATTCATCATTATGTAAATTAACGACTCTTACGCAGGGATAATAAATATTTAAAATTTTCTTAATGCAAGTTTGCAAACCCTTTGAGGTTCGCGGGCCACAAGTTAAAAACCACTGATGGAAATATTAGAAGTAACGTCAAACGTATAGGTTAAGTACCTGTTTCGGAATATAATTCCTGTAGATATAGGTCGAGAAGGTAAAAATTTTAGGACTTTCATGATTTATTTTTACAGGGATCATTAAGTACGGATAAAAATTTTATGAATACGTGTTGTGTATGAAGGTACACAGATACAAATGACTGGCTACTGAACCACGAACAAAATATATTATGTTGATTATGCATACATATCGCGTCGTATTGACGATACAGTGACTGTATTAGCACAGACGAGGTATACGAGTAGACCTTTCACCTAATGTATCTTTTCGGCCCGTTTCTCTAGAGTCTCGAAACCCCATTACCATTTCCGTGTTACTCGCAACGTTACCAACAGATTTAGAAATGAACACAAGAGGAAGTGAGACAGAAAATGAAATTACAGAAATTTTATTATTTTGTTGACGGAATGAAAGCTGTACGGTCCATCATTGGACAGTAATCGATTAAGATTATTTAAAAATTTCAAGATTATTAAAATACCTAAGGATGTATCTCATTGATACGTACACCGCAAATCCTCTATTTTTTATTTTAAATTGTAATACATAATTTATTTAAAAAATAACTCGGCAAAAACGTATTTGCGACTCGAAATCAGTGTTATCAGACCGTGCATTGGGGGCCCCAGAAACTCCTCATTCCACTTTCGCACACTATGCCCAATTGCGTGTACGTGAGTATATGAACGCACGTCCATACGCATAGTAAAAAAATGTCTGTTTTTTAATAGTTAAAATATGATCAGGGGGTCTTAAAACGTGTATTTCCATAAAAAAAATTTTTGAAATTTTTTAATTTTTGAAATTTTTTTTCCATTATGGTATTTTGCTTATATGTGTCTACATAGGTCGGAAAGTAAAAAATGCCTGGGCAGATGCAAGGTCGAATTCAGCTCTGTGAGAGCAAGAAGGATAGACTCACATTCGCCGTTTTTCTCGAATCCCCGAAGCTATACGAAGCGCCAGAACTCATATACAAGGTGGTTATGCATTAGTGTGTGTAAGTGGAGGGGCAGTTTCCTTTGAGCACGGGCCTGTCGTCTGATAATACAGCACTGTCTTTTTCAATCCCTCCCATACTCAACTGACATGTATTCACGCACACACTACAGCTGTCTGCCCATCAATACCAATTCAGTGAATAGTTCCTCAACTGACCACCATCCATGAGTAGAGGCCGCTAAAATCAGCTCCGAATTTTCAGGTCGGTATGGCAGTCAGATTGGGCCGCGAAAGTCCATAAGATGGAAGGTCTATTCGTACACCTCGTCTGTGACATTATCTGCTAACTCATGTTAGCAATAATCATGTAATAATCATGTCACGCTAAAATGAAACGCTATGTTTTGCACCTTTAAAAATATTCGACAACGTCCTTTTAAACAATGAGATAACAAGAGATAGGTAAAATACACATTACGGAGACAACGAACAAGACAATGCACTTACAGCAAAGTGCTCAGAAATGGTTATTATATAACCATTAAAATGAATTTAAAATATTCTCTGCACCATAACTTTACTAATTTATTTTACAGCCTCGTTCGAGCGAATAATTTTTTCAGAGGATGCCCACGACGTTCAAGGAAGATCGTGAGATCTCGGTGATCGTCGGCGTTTAAACTCGATGGCGCGTTTTCGCGTTTTGACGAATAATTAAGCAACGAATTCGCTCGGTTATCGGTTGGATCGGGAGACGCGCGGTCGCGACCGGTGACATTTTGGCAGACACGTGTATCGCGTAGGTTCGAAGGAGTCATGGAGTCAGCGCGTATCAAACGTCCTGAAGCGGCGATACGAATGCCCGATCGGCAGTCCGACGTCTGTCGACGCCTGTCGACGCCTGTACCCCGTCGACCCGGTTACTGACCGAATTTTTACGCCGATCCAGATAAGAGACTGTCGGAAAATCGACATCGCGCTGGTCACGACGGCCTCGTCTACTCCCCCAGCCTTTCGTCGTCACGACGCCCGCTGCACCCATCAGTCCTCCTCCTACTTAGCGCCGGGTACAAACTTCTGCAGTTCGTGTGACTAAGCACCCAACAAAGTTTCGAGTGTCTGAAGCTCCGCGAGCTGTGAATATAGGACAAAGGAGAGTGCCCCCGACGGGCGTAAAGTCGTCAACGCCGGCGACAACGTCCGCGGCTATTGCGTCGCGCGCAAAAGGGAACGCTTTTTCCTTTTTTTTTTTCTTCTATTTTTCTTTTACCTTTAACGGAAAACCGAGTCTCCCGTTCGCCGACAGTGTCCATTCGACGAGTTGCCGCGCTGCGACGTGCCATGGGGTCCAGAATGGGGTCCAGAATGTAAGTAATTCACACGGACACGTGTTTCCCCGGCGTTGATAGTTTATCGTACGTTTCGCGAGCCTCACGTTCGCCGGGCGTGAAACGACATATGGGAATGATACAGAGTAGCGTCGATCTTTTATTTTTTATTCATTTTTACCCCTTTCGGGGACGGGAATTAACTCTTTCTCGGATAAAATTCACCCCGCGGGCGACTTAGGCGTGAACACCATATCGTTTCGTCGCTTTTGCCTGATTTCACTCCAGCACTGGAAAATGCGATTTTTATCACAATGGCTTAAGGGGCCTTTCTATTATACTTTGTGGGATTTGAAAAATCGAATTTTTTTTGCGTTTTCTTTTAGTATGTAGTTTCGAAAATATATCTACCAAATATTAAATTGAAATTTGAAAAACTAACAAAGTTATAGCCTGCTGAAATGTACCGAGTGAAGGTATAACAACTGAACGTGAAAGTTTAAAGCTGTTTTTCTCGAAACTAAACTATTCAAGATATCAACATGAAATTTATACAGTATCTTTAGAACTGGTCTCCCTGTAGCATGAACTAGGATAATTGCGATATATGCAATACTTTTTCTTTTATTAACGAAAAAGCAACCGAATATATGAAAATATTCAGTATTTTTTCGTAAAATAGCTGCCATTTTGCCATTTTTCGTTTTTTTTGAAAAGTTCTTAGTTCATGCTATAACCACACTCATGTATATTAAGAATACCGTTGATTTTTGGATTTCGGATAACTTGTTCGCAGTCAGGCGCCATTCGTGAAAACTGTTGTTCGTTCATCAACAAAAGCAGCCTAATCAATAGATATTATGCGTTGCAAAAATTCGTAAATATAGCTAAATATATAATAAATGTATCTACAAAACACGGAATTAATCGCTCTTTAATAGCCCGCAAAAAAAAATCACAAAGAAACATGTATTTTTCGTGCCTACAAGGTAGAATGACCCCTTAAGGAAACTTTGTAGAAAAACTCGATTTGTTAAAGGGTGAATTTGGAAAGCAGAACCTGTATTATACCTTCCGAATGTTTGATCACAGATAGTCTCGTTCAAATATTCCACGATTTTAAAGATCGAATGCCTAAAATGAATAGTTAATAGGTCTAATAGCCCAAAGTGAACGTAAAGTTTACCACGTATTAACAAGTTTGAAGTAGGATAATTCCGTTACTGAGATGTGAAGACCCTCTATCTGTGTGTGTGTTTGCATGTAGAGTTGTTTCAAAAAGATGGAATAGAAAAATCTTTTGCAAAGAAAAATCAGATTAATTCTTCCTTATTAATCTGCAAACAGTGGCTTCGTTTTCAAGACATCGCTAGGACACTTGATAAAAAATGCAGCATTAGAATTAATAATAGTCGTAAATTGTTTGACTATTAGCTACTTCGAACGGAGCTTGTCGTGGCCTCGTGTTATTCCTTTTCATCACTTTCTCGAATCTCTCTTTTACTAAATGTCAGTACGATACGTACACGGTACGATCGACCGCAAATCTCTAATAAAGCGGATATTTGCAATTACCAGTCGATTCAAACGGGACAACTCGACTGGTCCACGATGCATTAACAATTACAAGAGATTGGCAAACTAGGCGAGAAATGAAATGAACCCTCGTGAAACACAGAATTAAGTTATTTTAAAAAAGTGGCGCGCGACGAAAGGAAATCGAATTGTTTGCAAAACTTATTTGCAGGAATTATCGCGATTTCTAGAAGTTGTCCCAAGTATCGTTGGATTAGCCAAAGATAGAAGCTCGGGGATATTGCTCCGTTATTTAGCGCGTCTTTGTTTAAACAAGTACGCGAGTTTTTAGTAAGTCTTTGTTTAAACGCGCGTGAGTTAGTCACGGTGATTGCGAGGCTATTGCGAATTTGGTATTCCCGTGCATGATTCGCGTGCACCGTTCCACGAACCTCGCGAGTTTTCACCGGTATTGGCGTCGAATACGGATCGACGTGGACCTTGGTTTCCAGGGGTAAGGTGGCTGCCACAGACCGGGGATTCACCTTGCCCGCCATTATGGTTCGTTAACTAATTCGCTCTGGGCGGTCGGCAATGTTATCTTAAACCGGCCTTCGAAATGTTTGTAAAACTTAACTCCTATTTACGGGACCGCTTAGAAACGTGTTCTCGTAATCGTGGCAATTGATGTGGCCCGTTTCTGGAGCGGCTGTTCTCTTTTTACGCGATACTTTGCAAGGCGAACGCTCGCGAGCGTGATCTACGATGATTCAGTTGGATCTACAGTCGCGTCGGTATTTGCGTTGACGCTGTTATATTTCTGGTATCGACGATATTGTTCCATAATTTAAACACTTGTCTTTCCGTACATTCTGACATTGTTTACATTATGTACAAGAAATGCCTCAGTATACCAGTGAGTCAATCTGTAAAAATATTCCCTAAATTTGGTCCGTCAGAAAGTAAGTCGACGTAAACAAGTTTCTGTTTTATTAATAAAATTTCGCTATGAAACGCGCATTTAGTAACTTGATAATGTATTTAGTCTCTTATATGATGTTTTTTTTGTTATGTATTGTTATTGTTACGAATTGGTTACTTGTAGCATGCCGAAAATACAGGAATTACACGAGTCTGAAAGGTTAATAGTTTGTAAAAGAAGAAGACAAAGCCAAAGTTTGCAACAGACTGCCACAGATTTTGGGATATCAAAGGAAGGGGTGCGAAAAATTTATAAAAAGATAGACTACTGAGGAAAAAGAAAAACAACTTCCCGTCAGGATCGAGAAATTGTTAAAATAACAAAAAAAAAAAGAACCATTTATCACTGTCAAACAGCTCAAAGAAGATTTAAATTTGTCAATAGTCAACCATTCAAATAAAATCCCATTTATGTATATGAAGCTGGGTTGCATGATCGAATATCCAGGAAGAAGCCACACATTTCCGAAACAAATGCTCGCAAACGATTAAATTTTGCAAAAGAGCATTTTAATAAACCGATTGCATTTTGGGAATTCATAATTTGGAGTGATGAGTCAAAGTTTGAATTACAATCAAACAAACGAAGGAAATATTTGTGGAGAAAAGAAGGATAAACTTTTGAACAAAATGTTATCATTTCCAACGTGAAACGCGGATGCAAAGATCGTTAAAAAATTTATCGACGTAAACAATATATTGCTACTTTCTTGGCCAATTTAAATCCGATTGAGCACTTATGGGACGAACTCGATCGAAAAATACCAAAATTGGGCCGCTATACAAAACCAAAATTGATGGCCGCACTAAAAAAGTTAAAAAAATTAATACACAGTATGTCAAATCGTTTACTGGAAGTAATTAAAGCCAAAGAGCATCAAACTGCTTATTCAATATTTTTTTTATTATTTTTTATAGAATTATAATTTACTTTATAAACATTGTCGACTTATTTTCCGATGGGCGTTAATTGGAAAATATTTGTCAATGCTATTGTTACTGAAATGAACATAATCATTAACATGAAATTATTTACTTAAGACCCGTATAAATTTATTTTCGTTAACATTTCGTACTTTATTTATTTTTATTGTATTCTTTTACGGCTATTTTATAAAAATGATAAGTGTCAAATACCGACGCGACTGTAAAAGCATGACGCGTAATCGACGGCACTAATTAGCTGCTCGTGTTTACGCAATTTTCGGGACAATTGTACAAATATCGAGGGCGAAGAAAACATTGACCGAAACGAGTAGATTTGCTAAAACGAGCACCGACAAAATTAGCAAACGAAAGCGTAACTAATTTCAGCGGCTCAAAATTTCCAACGCAATTCGATCGAACCGGCGCTTTGGAATCCGAACTAAAATGGCTATTAAATAATTACGCGGCGTTTGTATTGCGTTTGAGTTGTAAAATTTTACACTAAGGATCGCAAATCGTTGAAGACGACCGACGTGACGCCTCGGTTGATAGGCGTATTTGTTTCGAAAGAGATTTTGCGTTTTCTTTGATAGATAACCATTCTCGGAGAGAATTGCTCGATCGGTCGACGAGTTTCGCGTAAATCTCAAACAAACATGGTTTATCATCGCGCAAATATCCTCTGCCGTTTCTCATAACGACCATTCTCTGCTGTCCGTTTTATTTTTTCCTACCATGTTTCTTTGTTTTTTATTTGGGTCACGTTGTTTGGTTCGATAGGCTCATGGAGTGCCTCTCCGAGAGTTCGTCCCTCTGTAATTCTCGAAACATTTGGCAATTTTTATATTTTCGTTTAAACGGATCTAACGTCCAATGGTTATCGATGGTCACGAGCGGTCTAAATGCTCGATGCTCTCCGGCAGTTGGGAGCGAATCTCTTATCAACGATACGTCGAATGTTTAATGAGATACGAAGGCATTCTGGTACGAGCGAATCTCGCCTTGGAATGCCCCTTAGTTATCGCTTTCCTATTACGATATTTGCATAACGTGATTACCTGTTCATTAGATCGGCAGAAAACCTTTTACGGGATCTCGAGATAAACGAAGATCAGCTTAAGCTGTTCTCGTTCCCTTTTTTCTTATTGTTGTTCTCGGAAAGTGGCGCACGATAGTCTATATCGGAGCATCGATAACGGCGATCGGCACGGCAAATATTATCCGTTTAATTGGGACGCAAGGAGAGCATTGTTTTCTCGCGACGAAGGCGTAAATGCCGTCTGTTCGTTCGATCGAGAGAGAAAAAAAAAAGAAAAAAAAAGGTGCAGGTATTTTAAATTTACAACGAGTTTTTCTCCCCGTCGTTGCATTATTTATCGCGACTGGCAACGTTCGTTGTTGATTTAGTAAAATACGATGCAGGATCGAGCGCGATCGACGAATGGGAACGAAAACAGATATCGGGGCTGTTGCTTTCGTCGAGGTATCGAGCACGCAATAACGATTTTTACATATCAATCGTGCGAATATGTGTATACGCGCGATGTAACAATAAACGGGCACGTGTTAGTTACAACTAAGCTGTTCCATCTGGTTTCAGCCTGTGTAAACCAGTCTGATTTCATTTTTCGATGGTTGTTTTCGCTAGATCGGTCAAGACCCGGTCTTATCTAGCCAGTATGGCGTTATCTATAGCGTTTCGCAGGAAATGGCACACACGCGTTAACGAGCTCTTTATTCGTTACGAATACAATAACTAATTTTTACCATACGACGTTTAATTATAATAAAACAACGCACTCTCAATGCAATCGACTGCTCGACCGTTCTACTTTCAAGTCATTTCACTCTGCGAAAGTCTTAAGAACGATTAGGATCATTCCTCGTCATTCTACTTTGGCAAAATGGCGATGTTTCCTTTGTAGCGCATTTGTCAGAAGTTCAAGCATATTTGGTATTTTACTTTCACAAATTTCGTATAATACGTACGTTTTGCAACTGTAAACAAAGCCCGACACGAGAGTCATTTCGCTCACGAGATCGAGTGCACGCGTAACTGTATTTTTAGAACATTCCACGTACTGCAGTATTTTTATCGGAGCAACGGTCTGTCAACAAGACGTTGATTCGCTTTGTTTTGTATTTTTCAGGTTTTAATGTGCCGTCAGAGTAATTAAAGATACCGCGAACGTTGACGCTTTATCTGCGGGTCACGGAATCACCCGTTTTCTTCGGTTAGCGTTCGTGTTATTGAATGATAAAAGGAAGCGCAAAGACGGAGTGACTCACGTTTGCTACGAAAACATTATACCGAACAGGATATGTAGGTTACACCGAGGTCTCCAAGGACTCCTATAGCATTTCTATCGAATACCTAATTCATATCACAACGCGTACGTTCCTTTTTGCTGAGAATACTTTCGCAATATTTCTGGAAACGCTCTGGAAAAAGATTCTATTTCGGTTTAGAATGCCGGGAAGGCCTCCATAAAATGATTTTTAACGCGGTTGGTAGTCAATAATACTCGTCGAGTAAACATTTATGTTTTAATCATGAAATTCCAGGAAAAATTCAGCAGCCTGGGAAACCACGAAGCACGCTTCGGTAATATTTTATTACGTTAATCGCGTCGCGCGTGCACACGGATTATGGGAACCGCCATGAATTTTTAATATTTTCGACCAAAGTTACCGAGCGTTGTTTTCTAAAAAAAAACGTGGACCGTTTTCATTTTATACTCGCGTTCCGCTGGTACCGTTCAGTTTCGAAACGGAAACGTGGCTTTATTGAAATCAGTGTCAATTATAATTCATTTAGCATTCTCGATCGTCGCATAAGTGTTCGATTTAAATCGGTATATCGTACGATTCTGAGACTATTTTGTGTGAATTGACACAGTGTTCTCGAAATTTTATTAATCGAACGAGCGTTGAAAAACTTTGATGCATGATCGTGGCTGGTGCATGGTCGAGCGAGTGCCTCTCCGTCGAGAAGAACCAGAACTTAAGAAGGACCGACCCTTCCCTCTCCCAATATTTTGTTTCCCCCACCACCCTTATGGTCATCAGAGACACCACAGCGTCCGCATGCGTTTACCTTCAAAGACAGTTGCTGCAACAACGAGACGACTGGTCGCCGACGCGGCGGTGATAATTTGCGCGGCACACATCGGCCACTTGGTGATTGTTTTGGTGAACGGTGAACTCGCCTCTCGGAATTAACGAGTCCCGCGGAAGAGCAGGAGGAACGGCGAAAGAGCGCACGCGGCTTGGACACCTGTTCGCGCGGTCGAGATTCCACCGAGGTCCAGTTTCCCTCGAAGCACGACTTGGACGGCTCGTGAAAATCTCGATAACGCTTCCTCCTCGTTCCAACGACCGCCGGAAACGTACGCTCCTTTTCGTCGAAGCCTCGTCGTTTGGTCACCGTCTCAGGTGAACGACTCACCCCGCACCGGCGACGCTGACTTGCGATTAATTCCGCGCGATTGTCTTGGAATCGATCCGAAAGTTCGCGTAAGACAACTGTTAACTCGAACGAACCACAACAGAGCGAAATTGTCGATCGCGCGATAAATTAAGAAAGACGATTAGGAGCGGTTGACTAGACCGCGTCTCGAGACGATCGCTCGTAATCGATTCGCACTTGGTAACGTTACAATTGAAACGACGTTTGATCCTCCTTTGACGTTAACCGAACCCATTACTCGAGCTTGCCCGGGCAAAGGTGAACGGAAGGAGGAAGACGATCGGGTGATACCGTTTGCGGCGCAGGTAACGCGACACCGTTATTAAGAAATTAGGATTGCTCTCGGAGCGGATCGTTTAGATGTTAATGTATGTTAATCCGCGGATCGTGAATTGCGCGCGAAGGACGAAACCTGTTACGCTTCCTGTCGGTTTATCCGGTTCTCGGTGCCCGATATATCTGTTATTTTGATATCTCGACGACACCGGGCACGCGATCACCGTAATCGTCCAGGAAGAATCGTCGGAGCCGACGAATTAGCGATCGGCTAATAAGGCGATAGTTGGCGTAGTTCCTAGCGGTAATTGTCGGCCCGCCGTGACTTTAAACCTTTCGCATACTGACGCTAACGACCGCCATTTATCCATCCATCCATTCCCGACGAAAACGGAAACCGCGCTAGCAACGGCGATAAATAATAATAAAGTCGAGATTTACGACGAGCCCACTAGCCGCGCGCATAGTTTCTCTTCATATTTATCTCCGCGGATTGAAGGGCAGCGACGATTCATCTCCGCCTTGAAACGCTAAATGGACCGCGCGGAGCCTTGGGATTATCAAGGCGATGTGTAAACTGCATAATTAGTGTCCTCGCGATGTCCTCTTTAATGGAAACGATAGAACTCGAGAAATTCGAAACTCAGAACTGGTCATTCTGCGTAGAAATTCGAGCCGATTCGAAGCTCGTTGAATCACGTGGTTACTAGTGACCATTCTGAAAACAATCGTACCGCGCTTCACGACGCACTAATTTTCGTAACGTCCGCGTCACGACGCCGCTGGACGCTCGTCCTTGTCCCCGTTTGACGCCGTCCGATCCCGCGCGGTGACAGTGGAAAATCGGAATTCGTCGCGTGTAGCTGACCGCGATCGAGGTGCATTCGCGCGTAGGAAGCGATCGGTTTTTATCGGGCATCGGTGCCAATCGCCTCGGCAATTAGCCATTCATCTCGGGTCGCGAGCGGTTCGAGGTTCCCCCGATCGACTGGCTCACGGTCGATGGTCGATCGTTTTCACGACCGCAGCAGCCGAATGACGGACCGCGCAAAAGTGGCCGATTTTTCCCCGATATCGCTGGTAAAAGTTAAATCTCGTCGTTTTACGTAACCGTGACGTTACCACCGAGCCCATCACGATCCGCGTCGATGGGTCACGGCACTGTAATTGACGGATCTCCGTGTGTTTGCAGACTCAGAGACGACAAGGAGGACAGCATGAGGCTCTTCTGCTCGCAGAAGGACGAACCGTCGTCGAAAACAAAGGATGCCGGCCGAGGTATTGAACCGACACGGTTTGCTCGAACGCGATACAGTATTTTCGTTGATTAATCCTAACTCGAGTTAATCGCCAGCCACAAAGCTCTTGCGCTTCCTTTTCCCTTTGCAAAGGAACCGCGACCTCCGGTTGCTCCCTAACGGTGGTTCGTTAAGGATAAAGCAATTAAGGCTTTTTTAATAAACGTTGCCTCGTACGCGATTAATCGAACCACCTCAAGCTCCGAGAGAATTCAGATCGCGCTAAACGGGAGTCGTGCGTCGAGATGATTCATGTCAGGGGAAGTGACCCGTGACCCGACGTTAGTTGCGCGGATGACATCTGTCCCCGATCCTATGTTTCTCTTGCGGGGCTCTCGTTCGCGCGACCAACGGGTTAAAAACCAATTGAGTTCGATCCGGCGAAGTTCGTTTCGCTGAACCGGCCAAAACGGGCCGCGGCGCGAGCTCGCGAAATCATCTCCGTTTCAGCGATGACGGTTACGGGAAGTTGCTGGCCGTCGGTGTAATTACCTGGCGGATAGTCGCTCGTAAAACCGACGAGTGATTTAAGAGAGAATTATGGATCGCGATTACCCGCACGTGAAGATCCCAGTCGAGTCCCTCTTATTTTTCGCGCGGATGAAATATCGTGTGTCAGCGGTTCCGATTTTTATAAGACTATCCGATGCCCGGATTAAGACTTTTACGATCGACCCGATTTCTCGTTGTTATCGTTCGGTTTTTCTTTTTTTTTTCGCCCCTTTTTGCCTTTTTCGACCTGGTTGTTTTCGAGCAGAATTACCCCACCCTGGGAATTTGCTTATCGTCGATCGTCGGAAATCTGTCTTGTTTTTTTCCAGGGGAAAAGAGAGACTCGAACGGGAACCAGGAAGTGGATCGTTTCGGATACTATCAAACGATCATGTTCGCGATAATCAGCCTGCCTCTGTTTTTGTCAGCAGGATTCACGCTCGCTTACGTGTTCACCGCCGGCGGAGTTAAATACAGGTACGTTTTTAATTTCTTTTACAGATCCGCGTCGATTCAGACGCTTTTCGTAATCTCCCGCGAACATCCGTTCCTTTGTTCGACGATGTTTGTCCGAACATAATGTTTACAGGAAAGAAACACGAGCTTGAAACTGATCGCGATTCCAGCCGATCAAACGTTACAATTATGCAATTGATGCGTCGAGGAAACGATTACCTTGTTGTCAGAATGATTAGCGTCTTTCTTGCGACAGTGTTTGCTCCGTTTTACGCGTACTTACGCAATTCTGAATTACTTTCGCGATGCATCGTCTGATACAACTTTTGCAGATCAAATTGTCGAAAATAATTCGATTTTGTTAAGGATTCTTAAGGAACCTTCACATCGCACTTCATTTTTGAGGATTAGGCCTTCGAGATATTTTTATTTGACAAATTACGTTACGGCCATTAAGGAAACTCCAAACTCCACACGGGATTTGGAATCCTTGGAGCTCTTCCTTGCCTCAATAGCGATTGACTTGAGGTCTTGGGGGCTTTGGCTTTCCCCAAATGTTTATAAAAAAGGCAACGTTCTCGTTCACTCTTGCATGGTGTACCTGGACACTGGACAGGAATGTTGCAAAAACCAGGAAACGCCCTGCCAAGGTGACGACTTTGAGGATTTGCTTGACCAATCCTCCCACCCTTAGGTTAAGGGTAGCATTAAGTTTTTGCGTTAGATTCGTTTTTGATCGAGCCTTACAACCTCGACTAGACCCTCCACAAGACGTTTCATACTCTTGTGTAACACGAAGAGCAACGGGCTCTTAATCAGAAGCAACGAGCTTCAGTTATTAGTATTTTCCCAAACACGAGTTTGGGTGGTCCTTCGAGCACAAGGAAAGGGAACACAGTAAGGAGTTTTTTTTTCGTGCAGGTGTTTGGTGCCAGAATGCGAGGACGCCGTGGACGCGAGATTCGACGCGCCGTGGGCAGTCGATTCGGTTCCCGATATCTCGGAGATGTCCAAGTGCACCCGTTACGTAGTTCGAAATCATTCCGGCGAGTGCACGAGTGTTTCGTTCAGCAACGCGACTCGTCGATGCGACTCCTGGGTGTACGATCCAACGGAGAACACGATACTAGACGAGGTAAGATCGAATCGTTCGCGTAGGAGTTCGCCGTCCCGGTGGCTCACAGTTCTCTTCTTTTCCACGGTTACAGTGGAGCCTCACCTGTGACGTCAATCGATGGAAGCTCACTTTGGTGGGCACGATAAATAATGTCGGCCAATTCGTTGGGCTGATCTTCGCCGGATACGTATCCGACAGGTGAGAAATAATCGCTAGAGTGGACCGGGCTCCTAATTAGTCTTGGCCGGATCGGATCAGAGTCCAGGAAATGGGATTCCTCGTCCGGAATCCGATGGCTAATCATGTTCGATCGACGCGGGGGAAACAGCGAAACGCAGCGGAACGCAGTGAAACACAGTGTTGCATCGACGGGGCAATTCTTTAAGTTTTACGACCGGAAACGGCCGATTTGAGAAAACGTTTTCTCTCTTCGTCCCTCGAGAGTACAGGGTGTCGTAAAAGACTGGTTCTTTGAGACTCTTGGCCCTTACGATCGGTAAAATACGACGAAGAATAATTTTGCGGACAAAACTTTTTGATAGATCTCAGTGGCGTCGCTCGCGACGTGCAATTTTGCGAAGTCCTGTACATAAAGCAGAGAGGATTATGCATTTTGTCGCAAACTCCTGGGATCCGCCACCCTTACGAGTAACAAACTCGAGTTTCGAGTTTCCGGTAGTCGACCGAGTGAGTCTAAATAGACTTTCCGGACGGTGGTCCGTGATTTTCATTTCGAATCCGAGGAATATCCGCGAGTTCAACATTTGGGCAAACTCCGCGAATTCCAGGAAGACGAATGGAAAACTTGGAAACTGTTAGGTGATATTTGAGATCGCGGGTAGGAGACGTACGACGATTACGCGGTTCCGACAGCAACTTTGAGCTTTCGAATATTCCACGTTTTGACGCGATAGCGGTGCACAATGCATCGGAACGGGCGTCTATCTCGTGCCGGAACAATAAAAACGCGGCGTGCCAATATACACCCAGGCGCGGTATGTTTATTCGTTCTGTTGTTTTCAGATACGGAAGACGTACGATTCTGACGCTCACCACGTTCCTAAGCGGAATCAGCGGCCTGATACATTCCTTCTCCGTGAATTATTGGATGTTTCTCGCGTTCGAATTTATCGACGCGACTGTTGGAGCTGGCATCTACAGCGCTGCGTTCATTTTAGGTGAGTTAACAACCGGGAAAACTAAGGGTTGCTTGACGTGAACGATGCTGATATAAATAACAACCGTGTCTCGCGTGTCTCGAAGAGCGTTTCGATATCGAAAAACGAGTAACCGGTATACTCTGTCCTTTATAATCGTGTCCAGTACGATTCGAATACTGTTTTTAGAACTGAAATCGAACCATGCTTAAAACAGGAGGTGCAAGGAGTTTATCAGATAATTATTTTTGCGTTCAGGGATGGAGATGGCGGGAGTGAAGGGCAGAGTCCTGGCTAGCACCATCATCTGCTGCATGTTCGCGGTCGGCGAGATGTTGTTGGGATTGATCGCGATGTGGATGAGATCGTGGCGTCTAGTTCTACGGATGGTGTACGGGCCGGCGTTGCTCGCCATTTTGATGCCTTTCCTGATCCCGGAATCAGTCAGGTAATTTCCGTCGGCGACTATTTCGCTCGCGTTGCCCGGGGGGCCTCGTTAACGATCTCGGAACGATCCCTTTAACGACCGGCGAAGTCGTCGTTGTTACCGCGACATCCGGCCAATTAACTGGCCCTTTGACGTCACCGTGCCCCGTTGATTGGATTCACCGTTTTAATTAACGCGACTGCAATCGAAATCGTCCGTGTTCGGATCGCTTAATATCAGAATGCTTCGATCGACGCTTTCTTACGTTCATTTTCTGTGTTTGTACGAGGCGTATTCGCGAGCCAAGTACCCATTTGTAAATATACAAAACCAGAAGTATATCTCGAAAATAGCGTTAAAGGTCCCGAAAGTGTAACGCTAACCTTTTCATGAGCTCGATTTCTGTACAAATGCTCGTTAAAAACGGTCCATCCTTCAAGGTGGCTGTTGGCGAACGGCGAAGACGAAAAGGTGGAGAACATTTATCGCAAAATGGCGCGTATGAACGGGCTGCAAGTCTCCGAGGAGGCGATCGGGAAGTTCAAGGCACTGAACATGGTCAACGCCGACAAGGTATCATTTCTAAACCCCAAAATAAGTCGAAATAAATCGAAGTAAAATTTACGTCGCTATTATGCAGAAAGAGCAGCTGACGGGGGAGAAGAAGAGCCCAGCCATGCAGATTCTGGGCAGCTCGGTGATGATCACGCGATTGCTGGCCTGCTCGTTTTGCTGGCTGACCAACACCTTTGTCTATTACGGACTGTCGTTGAACTCCGTGGCTTTCGCCGGCGACAAATATGCTAATTTCATACTAGTCGCCGTTGTCGAGATTCCGGCCTACTTTTTAACTTGGTTCATGACCGATTACTTGGGTCGTAAGATCACCCTGTCGTCGACCTTTTTATTGAGCGGTGCATTCTGCCTCGCGATACAATTCGTGCCAACAGGTGAGTCGTTCGATCGAAGCTATAAACGTGGAAATCACGTAGACAACCAGAGAGAGACTTTTTTAAATATCTGGTTAGTTTTATTTAAAAATAATTAGTACGTCGGGGAATCGATGGTTTTCCTTTTCCAGGTTCGTGGACCTTCTTGCCTCTGATTCTGTACATGGGAGGCAAGTGGTGCATCACGATGTCCTTTTCCACAGTTTATATTTACACGGCGGAGCTGTTCCCTACGAACTTGAGACACTCTCTCCTTGGAATTTGTAGCATGACCGGTCGCATGGGGTCAATATTGTCACCGCAAACTCCACTTCTGGTGAGTCTGTTACCGCGGCAGTGTACACTGTAGCGAGTGTCAATAAGAACAGCCGTTGATATTTTAAATATTAATCCTCCCGCGAACCAGCAAGGAAACGTCTTCATTAGCGAATCCTTAAAATTAATTAACAAACTACACAAAAATTGGAAGCGTTTGAATGGGAGTTCGTCCGTTTTTCGTAGGCACAAATCCTGCCCGAGCTGCCGCTGATTTTGTTCGGATGCATGGGCCTGTCCGCGGGACTTCTGTCTCTGATATTCCCGGAAACGTTGGGAACGAAACTTCCGGACACGGTGTGGGAGGCGGAGAACGTCGGTAAGGTGCAGCCGAGCCAAGACACGCAGGATTCGCCGTCTTAAGCGCGCCGAGACGCGCGACGATCCGCGTCGCGTTCGATCCAACGGAAAGAGGGGGGAGGGAAAAGAAAGAGGGAGGAAACGAGAAGCTTTTTAAAAGTTCCCGGAAGCGACTATTGGCGGACCTCGGAAAGCTTGAAACGCGCGAAACTTCAGTAGTAAAAGGAGCTCGACGCGCGAGAACTTTCCTGTCCTGTTGCGTCGCGTTTGAAAATCGATGTACATAGTTCGTTCGCGATCAATTTCCCATAAAATCGACTCGCGCGTTCGTTATTCGCCTTTAGCTTGCCACCACGGCGTGTTCGTTTAGCCAATTTTATTTTATCGCGTTCAATTATTTCGCATAGCTGCTCGCCCGTGGTCGACGCGTTCGCGTCGTCCGTCGTCTAGACGTTTCTGCACGATGCTTAACGTCAAGAGAAAAATCACATTGTACTCAGGTATTTACACAGTATTGCTGCATCGAGCAAATGTATTAGTTCGTAATCATATCAACCCCGTTTCCTTCTGGTAGACGTAATTATGCGTAGGACCGTGCCATGATAGAGAATGTTATAGAAACGATAACAGTGATTTAATCTTAATGTACCGTGTCTCGTACGATGGTTACGTAGCGTACGAAAGTATGTAGAATGCAGTGATTATCGTGCAATGGTTTAGATAGTTAAATACGATGTACGAAGAAGAGTATTTGTCGACGAGACGAGCACCTAATAACTGATTTAATTATATTCGATGCAACGTCAAAAGAATGTTTTGTCATCGTGAAGCGTTGGTGGAATTTCGTGTCGCGATTTAATAATTATTTGTAAGCATTTACTTCTTCTTTCCTGGTTGTTGATGAAGAATAAAAAATACATCGACACGTTCGTACTCCAGTCCCTGAAGCTTATGGGCTCTGCACTTACATTTTCGAAGCTATTTAGTCGAAGGGAACGAAACGGAAAAACAATGGATTTATGGAAATACAGAATATGCAACTATGTACATTTCAACGTATTTCGGCTTTTGTTTCGTAGCCGGCGAATGTGTTCCACGGGAAAAGAATATTGTAAAAATTGTAAAAATAACGCGAACACGTTACGTGAATTTTTTAATAAGTATTATTGTTCATTGCCACAGAGTATTAACTAAATATCGACGAACACCTTAACGTCTATATCAGATCTTTTGCGTACATTTTCGTTTACAGATCACATCGAACCCGTTTCCATCGCGATGCAAGGTGGAAAATTAAAGGTGCTTTACAACTCCGTAGACTCGTATTACTCGCTAAACCGAATAAAAGATGTTTCATTACTGTGTTTGTTTACGGCGGGAAAGCAAAGAATTGCTTTATCGTACTGCCATTAATCTGTAAACGTTTGCTTGATTTACTCGCCGGATTCGTCGATCTGTGTTGACCAGTGATCGAATAATTCCACGTAATCTCTGATAATCCGGTGTTTTCCTACCGTAAGCAATAAACAGACACAGGGGTAGATAACTTACGTTATCGAAGTAGAGAATCGCTGTTTACTTTGAAAGGATCGACGAGCAGATCCACGTTAGCCATGGTTTATTCGGTTCAATAATTGTGGGAAACCTACGAAGCTTCTTTTCTCTAGTCAGCTCATTTGGAAAGAATGGACTGTGAAATCACTTTGAAACCGAAGAGTGACGCGGCGACTGGCGCATAATATCAGAGGATTAATGCCGTGTAACGCATCCGCCATCTTTGTCCGGGACGGGGTGGGCGGGTGAATTTTAATATACACGGGGATTTGGATATTTCATTTTGACAAATTCTCGGCCGGCGTGCTCGACTCAAAGGAAATTGAAGCCCGGCGCCGGGGCGCGTGCAATAGGGCCGCATGCTCTACGCGATGCAGCTGGTTATTTTATGTTTACAGATGACTCGCTGGCTCGTAATAAATATCGTTGTCCGGATCACAAATCTTCGGGGATGCGCGTTTCTCCTTCTACCTTTTTTCTTATTCACGAAAGTGGACCGGACGTTCTCGTTTCGCGCGCCCTTCTTGACGTCCCCAGTCATCGTCGCTCGAAAACCTTCCCCTTTCAAGCTGTAGCGTCTCGAATCTAACCCTTTCGATACGACGAGCCTAAGCTCGAATTCAACATTTTATACTTTACCGCGACTCGATCATTTATTTATGGGTGTACACTCAGTACGCGTCTCGTTCGTTCTTGCGCTTGATTAAACTGTGGCGGCCAAGGCACCACATACGCCTTAGCCGTTCGAAGCCGCTACAATGTATGGTTGCACACGAGACGATGGTTGCACACGAGACGATGGTTGCACACGAGACGACCAGAGCCGCGTGAGCCGAAAAGCCGTTGTCGTCGTCTCTGACCGTCTTTTGTTTTTGAAGGCCTCTTGGTACGGTGGCGATGATCGTACCAGAGAGTCGAGCGTAACCCGCACCACGAGTCACGTCGTTGTACGACAGCAACAATAAAATTGTGCGGAACGGAACAGAGCGGAGTCATTATCTTCCCGATCCCACATTGGTGACCCCGACGTGATCTCGCCGCGCAAGTAAAGTTTTTTTAAGAAAATTTGGACATTTTTTGTATACGGACAATATTAGTTAGTGTAGAGAAATAAGTGTATAGTGTTAAGAACATAAGGAAAGGACACGGTCTGACAAATAGTAGGCGCGGTGTGTGTGTGCGGTGAAATTAATCTTTTGTGACCAAGACTGGTAAAATGACTGACCCTACCGTTAACGCGGGACATCCGGGAGTGTGCCGTTGGCAGTTGATCGCGTCGCTGTACGAATACCCGAGTTTTGTCCGGGAGACCCGGAGATGTGGTTTTCGATGGTAGAGAGAAGTTTTGAGGTATCCAATGTAACGTCGGAGACCACGAAATTCGGGTACATTCTCGGCGCGTTAAGTGCGCGACACGCCGCGGAAGTAAGAGACATTATCATGAATCCTCCGGCCACGGATCCGTACACGACGCTCAAAAATGAGTTTATTCGCCGGCTAAGTGCTTCGCAGGAACAGAAAACGCGACGGTTATTGGAACACGAGGAAATCGGGGACAGAAAACCGTCCCAATTTCTTCGTCACCTGCGCGGATTGGCCGGTACGGCTTTTTCGGACGGTGTATTGCGGACGCTTTGGATGGGCCGACTACCTGCTAATATGCAGGTGATTTTATCCACGCAGCGGGACACCCCGCTGGATAAGGTAGCAGAGTTGGCAGACGCTGTCGCGGATACGATGACACCGCGGGTACACGTCACGGAGGCCGCGATTACGAGCGTATCTGCATCCTGCCAAATACCCCCGCCGGGCCCGAGCATCGAGGCCATGTTAAACATTAAGATGTCACAATTGGCTCTTTCCTTGAGGCAGGAAATTTCTGCCATCCGTGAATCCTTGGTGGACCAGGGGCAATCTTCCCGTCGCAGGTGGACCCACCGAAATCATCCAAACTCGCGCTACCGCAGACGATCTCTATCGCGATCGCGAGAGCGGCCCGCGGGAGGACAAATGGACCATCAAGGGAAATGCTGGTACCATTGGCGGTTCGGTCCGGCCGCGCAGAGGTGCGTTGCACCGTGCAATTGGAACGCCACGGATCAGGGAAACGACCTGGGGAGTCGTTGATGGCGGCCAGCGACACAAATCCAGCATCACGCCGCCTCTTCATCTTAGACAACAGCTCGAAGACGGAATTTTTAGTGGATACCGGGGCCGATTTGTGCGTTTTTCCGCGCCGCCTGCTAGGCGGATTGCGAGAAAGATCGGAGTACCAGCTGGCGGCGGCGAATGGGAGTGTAATTAACACCTACGGGACAGTGTCGTTAAACCTGCACCTCGGCCTACGACGGGATTTCGTGTGGCGATTCGTGGTTGCGGATGTTACAAAACCCATAATCGGGGTAGACTTTCTCGATCACTTCGATCTTATGGTGGACATCCGCAATCGTCGCCTCGTCGATCGGACCACGTCGTTAACGGTCCGCGGAACACGAGCCGAGGATGAAACGCCGTCGGTGAAGACAGTAGCAGGGACTACCGTTTACCACCAGCTCCTGATGCAGATGCCGGAACTTACACGGCCTAGCGGCACCCCGATGAGGACTACGCACCAAACGGTGCATTACATCGAGACAACCCCTGGACCACCCGTTTCCAGCAAGCCGCGGCGGCTTGCACCGGACCGGCTCAGGGCTGCCCAGAAGGAGTTCGACGCGATGGTGAAGATGGGCATCGCTTGTCCTTCGAAGAGCGCGTGGTCAGCACCCCTTCATATGGTTCCGAAGAAGGGCGAAGAAGCTTGGAGGCCTTGCGGTGACTATAGAGCGTTAAACGCACGGACAATTCCCGACCGATACCCCGTGCGTCACATTGAGGATTTTGCGCAACAACTGAGTGGCAAAAAGGTATTTTCCACAATAGATCTCGTCCGAGCTTATAATCAGATTCCGGTTGCGTCGGAAGACGTCGGAAAAACGGCCATTACAACGCCGTTCGGGCTTTTTGAATTCCCGTACATGTCGTTCGGGTTACGAAATGCCGCGCAAACATTTCAGCGCTTTATCGACGAAATTTTACGCGGTTTCGATTTTTGTTACGCGTATATAGACGACATTTTGGTCGCCTCAGAATCCCAAGCCGATCACCTGCGCCATTTAGAATTATTATTTAAACGATTAAAAGATTATGGCATTGTTGTTAATCCGAATAAATGCACGTTCGGACAGGAAGAAGTTAAATTTCTAGGCTATCGGGTAAATGAAAGCGGCACTCAACCTTTGCCCGGCAAGGTACAAGCCATAAAGTCATTTCCCCTTCCGAAAAACGCGAAGGATTTGAGGCAGTACTTGGGAATGCTTAATTTTTACCGCCGTTTTATCCCAGATGCCGCTCGCTTTCAAGCACCCTTGAACGACCTTCTAGCCGGCAATTTAAAGGGCAAGACCCCGATAGCCTGGACTTCGGAAGCGCGTCAGGCTTTCGAAAATACCAAAAATAGTTTAGCAAACGCAACCCTGCTTTCTCATCCTGCGGTCAACGCTCCATTGTCGGTTACCTGCGATGCTTCTGATTACACCGTAGGAGCTGTTTTACATCAGTGCGTCGGCAACGAACGACAACCATTAGCATTCTTTTCTAAGAAATTAGGATCTGCCGAAAAGAAGTATTCAGCTTACGACCGGGAACTACTTTCTATCTATTTAGCAATAAAACATTTCAAACATATGCTCGAAGGCAGACATTTCACGATTTTTACAGACCATAAACCCATAACTTTCGCTTTCAAACAGAAATTAGATAAATGCTCTCCTCGACAATTCCGATACCTAGATTACATTGCGCAATTCTCTACAGATATTCAACATATTTCCGGTAAAGACAACGTCGTTGCCGATGCACTGTCCAGAGTGGAAACGGTTAACCACTCGATTAATTTCGAAGAATTGGCAAAATCGCAAGCCCAGGATGAGGAGTTGCAGCGGTTGTTGAATAGCGAATCTAGCCTGCAATTACGCAAAGTCTCGTTGCCTGGCACGTCTTCCGAAATTTTTTGCGATATTTCGACTAAGAATGTAAGACCTTATGTCACCCCTCCTTTCCGACGTGCAGTTTTTAATATGTTACATGTATTATCACATCCAGGTATTAACGCGACGATCAAGCTCATAACGCAACGTTATGTTTGGCCGTCGATTAAAAGAGATGTTCGCACGTGGACACGTTGCTGTATACCGTGCCAAAGATCAAAAATTTCCCGTCATGTGACTGCACCATTGGCTACATTTGTTAAACCTTCTGCGCGATTCGAACACATTCATTTAGACATAGTAATTTTACCGGTGTCCGAAGGTTTCAGGTATTGTCTGACCTGTGTAGACAGATATACGCGGTGGCCGGAAGCCTTCCCCATGGTCGATCAGGAGGCCCAAACCGTAGCTCGAACCTTTTATGACGGTTGGGTAGCGCGGTTTGGTGCTCCCGTACGGATTACCACCGATCAGGGTAGGCAGTTCGAATCCAAATTATTTTTTGCGCTGAACAATTTAATTGGATCCACACGCCTTCGCACAACGGCGTATCACCCAGCGGCCAATGGGATGGTAGAGCGTTTTCACCGACAGCTCAAGTCGGCTATAAGGTGCCACGGATCCGACAGGTGGACAGAAATACTTCCGACGGTTCTACTCGGTATTCGTTCCGCCTGGAAAGAAGACCTCGGCGCTACCTCAGCGGAATTAGTTTATGGCGAGCCATTAAGATTACCGGGAGAGTTCTTGTCTTCGCATTCAGCGGAAGGCACAGAAAATGCTTCCGATTTTACTAATAGACTACGCAACCATTTTTCTAAATTGAGTCCCTCTAATGCATCACGCCATTCCGTTAATCGTACATTCGTTTTCAAAGATCTTAGCAGTTCAACACATGTTTTCATCCGAACAGATTCAGCCAAAACTATTTTACAACCCGCTTATGAAGGTCCATACGCCGTAGTGCGCCGAGGCGAAAAAACATTTACAATAAACATTAGAGGTAAGGAAATAAATATATCAATTGAAAGGCTAAAGCCTGCTTATATGCTAGCAGAAAACAGACCGGATCCCGTGAGCATAGAA